AAGCAGTTGCAGAAATAAAGCTAATGCTTTGGCAACCACACTGGAAAAGCTACCTATATGTAAAGGTTGTTACATAAAATCAATTTTTACCAGTCTGCTCAAGTACCTGTTTGACTAAATATGCCATACCAGGTAAAGCTAACCTCCTTGTCATGAAAAACCTGTGTAGACTGGAGAGGAAGAAATCCTAGAACGTTGTGATAGCAGATTTGCTTGTCTCTGGTCCGATTTTAAGTCTGAAGCCATATTAAGTCTATTCCTGAATACTGCATTACTCTTATTTGAGTGACCTGGTCTACTCTCCTAGTGCTAGGAGAATGATGAGAAGCCTGAGTTTCACCTGAACTTACTTCAGGTTATGCACAGATTACATACTGAAAGAGGCTGCATTCCATTCTCCTTTTTTTTTTTTTTTTTTTTCCTTTTTCATTTTAAATTTCCCACTCTGTTAAAATACACAGTTGTCACCAGATCCTGGCAATTTTCCATGCAGAGGGAGCAGCAAATTGCATATTTTGAGAAGGGTGGTGTAGTCCATACTATTCTCTCTGAGTCAGAAATACCATTTCTAAGAACAGTGAACTGTTAATGTCGGTGATGGAAACTACTGGGCAAAACTGAGGTTGGGAAAATCACTGATACTGGAATTTAGGTAGGATATCTGTCTAATATATCTATTTATAGTTGTAAATAGATTGAGATTTAATACGTCTGAGTTGAACATCAGACTTCAGGTTGTAGCATTTCACAGTGTTTCTTGAGTGGTCCCCGTTCCTCTTGAATGTTTTCTGTCAATCTCCAGCTATATTACTAGGAGGGGCCTGTTGTTGGAAATCTTCCTCCAAGTATGGGTTAAGTATGGTTCCACAAACACCAGAGTGGTTTCATGGGGCTAGGTTTTAATAAAACCATTTGTTAATGAGGTTTGACTCTGTTCCTGGAAGACCCCAATAACAATACTGTTCTGCGTGAAGAGGATGTGTGAGCCCTGCCTTTGACAGCTGATTCAGGGGTTTTTTTTTAAATTAACATTGAAAGTAGACACAGTTGCATACATCTGTAGTGGCAAGTGTTGTAATGTCAACATCAATATCTTTCATACTATGTTCTTATGTGTACTGAGAGTACTTCTTGCAGGTCTGAGCATCTTCACAACAGATATTACTATTCTATGTATGCTTTTAGCTTTCCCAATCTGAATTATTTGGAGATTCCCCTTATTGCCGTTGAGGTATCTGTTACCACGTTACTACCACGTACTTAAAGACTACCAATAAATATTTCAGAAAGATATCCATCTCTTCTGCACACATAGGCAAAACCTAATTTTGTTCTGTAACTTCCTAATTGTGTATTTGAAACAAGGAAGGTAAATGGCGGGGGAAGAAGTCTTTCCTAAACTGGTAAAGAAAGATGATATATGGTAAATTTGAATATGCAGCTTTCATTTGTTTTTCCTGTGAACAAGCACAGTGTAATATATGTTATCCCATAAACCTTTGAAACAGAAGCTGTAGAAAAGTGAGACTAAGCAAGACACAGGCTTTAAACATCATTGTAAAAGTTTAATAAAAAAAAAATCTATAAAAGTGTTGATATGTGTTATCAAAAATGCCTTGCAGATTAATTGCCTTGAGCTGAGAAGCTTTAAATTAGTATATTAACAATTCTGTTTTCACGCCTCTGTGAATTATGTTCAAATGATGCCCAAATGTTGCTAAACAACATAAAAATTTGATATGTTGTCAGTCCCATTGCACAAAGCAGCACAGTCATTTACTCAGCCAATTTCTGCTGCAAACCCAACGCTGGGGAATGGAATAACACAAACAAGGTAATGAGTTTTAAACTAATTATAAGGTGACAACAGTGTAATTGAACATGAGATAATGAGTGGAAAACTAAGGTTCATGGGGTGGTTTTCTCAGCCTTGGAAATTACTTTTCTCAGACTTACAAATTACTTCTCAGATTTATTGATTTAGAGATCTCTGCCAACTGTTGAATGGTCAAGAAAACCATTTCTATGCGTGACAATGGTTAACAGCTGACAAACAGTAATTTTGTACAATTTTAAATCTCCCATAAATTTACAAGAATGCAGATCTGTGATTATTTTGGGTGTTTACAGCATTTCCACTAGTTCGTACAATGTCTGTGTTTTTATAAGACGGAGGCTTTGGAAAATTGTTTCCTAATTGTTCACGCAAAACTTCCTTCACCTCTGCAGAACCTTCCCTCGAGAGGTGCTCTGTGTGCCCTGCGCTCCTGCTGTGTCAGGGAGCCTGTGAGTTAGCCCTGCTCGCCTTTCCTCTGCTCGCCCTGTGTCTCCAGCTGCCCGACGGGCCAGGGCAGCCTCCAGGCCCGCTGCCTGGCCAGGGTGGCTCCTCTGGTCTGTCACAGAGTTGCCAGATAACTGAAAGAGAGAAAGCAGCCCACTTTCCATTTTTCTCTTTCAGCTGCACTAAAGTCACTCTGAACACCAGCATAAGAGTTAAGATTAGATAAATCTTTTTTTAATGCAATTCAAATGCTAGCAGTGTAGCTAGCAGGCGTAGGTGTAAAGGAATAAAAGAAAATACTAACTGCAGGCTTGCTCTTAGTGGGATTTTTGTTTCTTGTAATGACCATACTGCCAGAATGCTTGCACCTCTCTTGTCTGTGTTTTCAAGTCCTCTAGAAAAATCCTTGCTCTGTTGAAGCTTTCACTGAAGAGGCGTAAACCTTTTACTGACAAGTGCTAATCCATAATTTAGACAAGACATTAGTTTTACCCTTGCCTTCTAAACCATTTTGGGTTGCCTGTGCCTTGTTTCTGGATGTGCCAGTGTCTTTGGGCACAACACGATGAAGCCATCTTCTGCCCAGATGGTAGCAGCTTTTTAACTATAGCCTGTATATCTTCATCTGTAGACAAATCGTTGACCTGTCATGACCCTTTCTACCTGAAGCATACGCTCGAAGCTGTTGTACAGGCAGCGTGACAGAAGGAGTTGATGTGCTTTCCTTCATGATTAAAATATGACGTGAAGGTACCGAGGCAGATTTCTGGAGAGCTTGTGGGCAGGTAGAGATCTTGAGTTCGAGAGAGACCATGGCGCTCACCCCCATGGCGCTCCTGTATGTGCTGGGTAACACGCCTACGATAGAGTCTCGGGCAAGGGGCTAGCGGGAGGCGGACGTCTGAGCAGGGGTGAGCGTGCACGGGCCCTGCGGCCCGTTGTCCCCGTTGTTGGTGCCACTGGGAGCTGGGGACAGGGGCAGGGGGGAGCTGGGGCCAGGGGCAGGGGGGAGCTGGGGCCAGGGGCAGGGGGGAGCTGGGGCCAGGGGCAGGGGGGAGCTGGGGCCAGGGGCCAGGGGGCTGCAGCCTCAGGCAGAGCGCCCGGCCAGGGGCAGCGGCAGCCGTGGCCGGGGGAACGGTGACGGCCGAGTCGTGTGCCTGCGGGAGGGCAGACCTTCACGCCGTGGTTCGGCAGCTCAGGGTTACACAGTGGTTTCTCTCTCTGGAATGACACTGGGCCTATTCTTGGTTGAAAAAAAATAAAATAAAATATAGAGCTTGATGTGCTCAGTCTTCTCCCCCCCTCTAAAAATGACAAGGCTTTTCTAATTAAAACAATAAAAGGTTTTTTGTGAGACTGTTCATAAATAAATACAGTATTTCTGGATTTTTTTAAATCTTACATATATTCCCAGACACAGATTTCTAGCGTATCGATGAACTGCTTTGTATTATACTATCCAAAATTATCTGTAAGAAATCATGACTTTGTATTACAGAAACTTAAAAATTGGTTTTTGTAGGTGTTGAGGATAAAACTGTATCAAATACGGGGCTTCCAACTTTGGCAGAAAGTGTGGTGGCAATAGTTCTGGGAAAGGGTATGTTTTTATAAAAAGTCCTGAAGAATTTAAAGAGATGCCCAGCATACTTCCTATCTGAGACTCTGACACTCCATAAATAACATCTAAAAAGGCCACCAGAGGAGATCAAACTCGGTTGTTGGGGCTATGAATATGTGTCATGGAGAATTTATTGTCCAGAGTGCTTCTCCCATTTCTATTTCATACATTTACGATACCGTTAAGCATTGCCATTTTACTGCAGTTTTTGGTAATGTCAGAGAAAAAGGTAGCAGTTTTTAACAACGGAGAAGAGGAGGTATAAATGAAGTATTAGCTCTTTGACATGAAGGTGTACTTGAGAAAGACCCCATTGATTTGGATTTTATTTATGTACAAGTATTTTTACAGCTGCCTTCTACATGCGCATATGTTCCCATGCCTATTAATAAGAGACCAGTGCTTAAGTTTATGAAGCATAGAAAACATTGCTTCTGTCTTACCAATGGAATGATTGGACAGGCTTGTAGAGGAATGAGTGATAAAGGCAGGGGCAGAGCTCAGGCATGACTCCCAGCCTTTGGTCTGAACCAGTCTCCCCCGTGACACCAGGTTTATAATCAACAAAAATGATGCAGAATCTTCCAGGGAATTAGTCATTCTACAGCAAAGGCATTTTGTAATCAGTAATATTTAAATGCTTTGTTTTGTTTCTGTAGTTATTTTATCTGCTGCAGTGCTGATTGTTTAGCTTTGGCAAGATTTTATTGATTAATATTTTTTAGCAAATGTGTTCACAGCTATGTCTGCATATTAGACCAACTGCTTTGAAAACGTTTTCCTAAAGCCATCCTGATTTCAGGTCCCTATTACCAAGCAATACAGTTTCTCTCATTCAGTGGTTTATATAATCCCAGAAGACATCTGGAGCGTGTTTATGATAAGTCAACTATGAATGCAGATTTATGGAAAAGACATGTTATTTACAAAGAGCTGAGTATGCTATTTGCATCAGCCTGATCTATATATTTTTTTTATGACTTTCTAGGGTGTGAAATATAAATGTCCTTAATAATGAAAGCTATACCCAGTAAGACTTGTGTTCCACAAATAAATATTAAATATGTTGTTTGTTTGTTTGTTTTTTTTTCCTTTTAGATCCATTTCAGTTCCTCACCAAAAGTGAACCTGCAAAGGAACAGACAGCCCAACCAGCTTTAGCCCGGAAACCCACAGTGATCCGAATCCCAGCTAAACCTGGGAAACGTAAGTTCTTCTCCCAAGTTATCTGAGAAATCTCTGTCAGAAAATCATTTTAACTGGGGCTTACTATTTACTAATTGAGTTGCTGCTTTCTAGCTGTATTAGCTGCCAGAAGAATCCTGTGGTACAGTTTGACAAGGCAGAGGAGCCAACCAAAGGGCTGTGGTGGAAGGGAGAAATAGCTGGGAGTCATGTTCCTCTTTCCCTCCCTCCCAGCTACCTCGTTGGCTCCTTCCCTCGCGCCAAGTTTGATGTCCCTCAAACCTTATGGAGCTGGTGCATATCAGAAGCAAAACCATGGCAGGGGGGGATCTAAAGGTTGGCAGGGAAGAGCTGGAGGAGACCCTTTCAGCAGAATCAAGCTTATTTTGTCAGCTAAACCATATCACTGAGCTGTACCTTTGGTCAAATTGACTCCTGTTCTGGCATCAGCTAAGATTATTTCAGTGCTGCCTCCAAGCTTCCTGGGAGTAGGGCCCCCACTTGTCAAAGGAACAATATTAGTGTATTAAACTTTGTTTCAAACACAGCTGTGGGGATGTAGGCATCGTTTTCACAGCTTACATCAAAAAGTTCCTTTGACCCTTGTTAGATTTGAAATCTGTGGCCATTTTAAGCAATAGTGTTTTGGTAGCAGTCAAGGGAATAAAAAAGGCATGCGAGAGAACTTGGATGCAAAAACCTGATGTGTTCCAATTTTGCATCAAGGTCTTTACTATACTTTTCTGACAGTTACTGTATCCCTAATGCCTTCCACCTCTAATCCTTTACAGCTTTACAAATGACACTGACAGTATCTCAGAGTGGAAATTCATCAGAACCACAAGGTCTTTGTGTTGGTCTTTCTATGCTGGAGTACATACTTGCTTCTGTTTAGCCTTATTTTTTATCCTCAAAGCTGAGTGAGAAATGCCACGAGATAGCTCTTAAAACTCATATTTAAAAATCATGTTTTACTACACTGAGTAGGTGTAGAGCCAACTTGTAGCGCCTAGATGTCCAGGTGGCTTTTCTCCTAAGAGTGTCTCATTATTTCCCAAGTTCCTTCCCCCCCCGCCCCAGTGCTAAAATACTAGGTTTTCTTTTCCTCTGCATATGTGAGAAATGCAGTGGAAATGGTTAAAAATGCAGAGAAGACTTAAGATCAAGCTATGAGGAAAAGTCTTTCTGTTAATACCTGATCATAAATAAAAGGTTTTTTCAGGTGGAAGAATATATGTAGGAACTACTGTAAACAACCTAAGACAATTCTTTACCACAAAGGAAACTGTAATTTCAGTTAAAAACAAAAAAACCCTGACAATTGGAGTTGTTTGGGGTTTTTTTTCTTTTTTTTTTTGCTTTTTCCTGAGCTGGATTCTATTTTGAACTTGTAGATAACTGGTCCCTTGCTGCTCTCTAGTGGTAATTGAACTTTCCACAGGAGACTGCTGGTCATACTGTACTTAGCTATGGTTGTCAGGGGGGTGTGAGGGACAGCTTTGTGGGAGGCTGTGACTGGAAGATTAATGGGATAAGGAGGAACAGAAGCAGGTTCCAAGAAAGCAGCATAGTCTTTTGTCAGATAGGAGCTGCTGCAGAAATATAAGCTATTAAAAAACTAGAAAAGTACAACTGGGCAAAGGTATAACATGTATATAGTGGGATTTACCTTGTAAAAGGGCCACATAATCTCAGTACAAGGAGTCTTTCATTATTGTGGATATGGAGGGAGAGTAATTCTGTCAGGAACCAGCACAAACCAAAAAGCAAAACCCCAATAAACAAAACAAAAACCCCAGCTGGCACTACTAAAAAAGGGACAGAGCTGGATGCTTAAGAATTTGAACTCCAGTAAAGCACTCATTTATTAATAGCACTTTTCAAGATGTGATTAGAAAGGAAACACTAAACTTCCACTTTGGTTATTGCACTTAGAAATCACTGAAAATAACACCTGCCTTCTAGTTCTTGGGTTTTTTTGTTTGTTTTGGGGTTTTTTTCTTCCTTTATTTCCTTTCATTTTGGTCTTATAAAGAGGAAATTAGGCCATCTGTGTATATATCAAGATTTGAAGTGATGTGAATAAATAAATCTCTTGTGCTTTTTACATATCAGTAAGGTATGATAAGAGAAGATTTCCCTTGCAATTACTGTCAGGTATTGTTTTTACTTTTTATCCATCATAGTAGCTTAGAAGAGTGATGAACATCACCAACTTGTTTTTTTGTGGTTGGTTTTTTTTTTTTGTTGTTTCATTTTGTTTTGTTTTGTTTTTTTGTTTTGTTTTGTTTTGTTTTGTTTTGTTTTTCCCTGTGCTTGGTCACTGCCAACATGGTAACTGTGACCTGCTCCTAAGAATAAGGGATTTATCCTTGAACTGAATCATTTTTAAACATTGCACTAGTGGTTTAGGTCATAATAATGCAACTGAGGTGTTAAAAACAAACAACACTTCTTCCAATGTGTTGTTTCTTTGTTGAGATAACTTTTCATGAAATAAGCAACTGAAAGTTGTCTTTTGGATAGAATCTCTCCTCTTTTTTTGTCATCAGTCTATAAATGTCGAGGCTGTCTACACATATTTTTACATAACTCCCAGACTGGCTGGGAGTCAGAAGAGCTTAAGTGTCTGAAGTTTTTTGTATGAAATGCATTTTCTCGGTGTACAAATACATTGTAAAATAGATGGCAAGCTTCCAATGTAGAAATACAAAATGATTGGTAAATATGTTGGCAAAACCTGTCAACCTTCTCAGGTTTCAAAGGTAGAGATGTTGAAAGCAAATATCATATAATTAACAGGTTTTTGTGTTCTTTATTGAGACTGAGGACATCATCACTCTTCCGCAGGAAGACCTGTACAGTTTCCTCTTCCATGTCCTAAATTTCCCTAGCTCCTTAAAGACTAACAGGGAGCTTCCATCTCTGTTTTCTTTCTGTAACCCTGAATTTTGTGGCAGGCAACGGTTTCTTTTCTTGCCTTTACCTTTCTGGAGATTCTTCCATCCAAGTCCTCCTGATCTTTCAGGGTTACTTGAAATAACCCTCAGCTGTTTTCCAGCCTGAAGGATATTCCAGGAGCTGACAGCTGAAAAAAGTGAGCCAGTTTAGCAATGTGGCTGAGAGATGGTGATGGTGTTTCAGGGTATCCAGTAATGAGTCTGACATTCCCAGGGGTAGAAATTCTTCTACTCGTCTGACACTGTATCAACAAGTATTGCAGCTGAAACCCTGAAACCTTAGAATAACTTGCTTGTGTCCTGAGAGTAAAGTGAAGATCCGTTATGCAGGATGGGAAGTACTCCTGAAGTCAACCTCAGAGTTGAAATGTTCCCTTCATGCCCCTTTTCTCTCCACTGGTGTTTAAGTGGTTCTGCCCATTGGCAGCTCTGGCTTTGAGGAAGGAAGTTGCAGCCACAAAAAAATGCAAACCAGTGTGGATTCCCTTACCTGTTGTTGGTCCATGTAAAGAAACTATTAATTAGACTTTCATTTGGGAACTTCTGGGTTTTTACAGCTTTAAATGAAATCCTGCATAGCCCTCCACCACTTCCTGCTGAAAAGCCTATTGGAAACACCTCCGATATCACAGTGGGAAAACCCAACAGTGGTGACCTAGTAAAAAAAGTGGTAAGTTAGAACTGTTTTCCCGTATTACAACTTTGTCTGCTTTGGTTAACAGATCTCTTGTGACTCTCAAGAATTTGTAAAGTTATTTGAAGGACCAGAGGATGAAAAGGACTACTCAAAAATACAAGGCTTTTTTCTTTTAATTGCATTCTCTAATTTAATTAGGTAATTTAGACTGCTGTCAGTTCTGAAAAGCACTTTGTTGATTTTAATAAACTTTGATCACATCTATCTTCAATTTTCTGTATTTAGCAGCTGGAATCGGGATATTCTACAGTTTAGTTTCAAAAGCCCTGCAAATTGGTTCCAAGTCCAGTGAGACTTCTGTAATGACATATTGTCAAAGTCCTCTAGGAACGTATCTTTTTAGCTTCATACACACAGTACCTCTTGGTGTCTGTGCTAATTTCCAGGCAGAGGAAACTTTTCTGTGGGTGAATGAAGCTCGCTTTCTTCAGCTTTTTCCTTCTAGTTGTTTTCTACTGGTCCTGCCAGAGCCTGAGCAGAACCATCTATTTTGGAAAGTAAGGCTCTGCTCCTTGCTCCTGAGCACATGGTAATGGCAGACTTTGTAGCTGTGTCCTATATGCCCTTTGACGCAGATTTACAAAAGGGAATTAAACTAACAAATGACAGTAGAATTTCCAAATAGTGAGTGCTGTGATGGCAAGAGTGGTAGAGAATCTTGTGGAAATCACAGGTACTGAAAATATCAAACCAAATCAAAAGTCTTCACTAGATGGACAGCTGCCAACAAATGTTTTTGTGGCTACCTCTGCTAATAGGATAAAGGGGATTGTAAATGTCATGACTGAAGAGGCTATACACAGAGGCTCCATCTTTTCTAGATAATACTGAAAAAATAATTTCCAATACAATATGTTAAATAACATTATATACAATGCAACTCCAAAATTTTTACAATGTCATCCAGGTTATTGTGATAGGCATGTGTAAGCTTTAGAGGATTTTTTAAAAGAAAAAGACTGCATTAAATCCACTGAAACATTGAAATCTTATATTTGGAAGGATAAGAATTTCTGTGCTTCTAAAACTAGTATTGTTTGTCAGTGGGAGTGATTAACCAGCAACAGCAAAAATTGTTGACCATAAGCAGCAGTTGGCACAGATTTCTTTATTTTCATACAGAAGAGAAACATTTTTGGTATGAGGATAACATCCCCATCTGAAAGTGGCAAGTTGTTTTCTTTCTGATCAGGATTGTTTAATCAGGAACATTCATTTGTGGACTTAATCAAGGGTCAAAATTTTGTCACAAAATACATCTAGGTATTTTCTAGCTGGGAAAAAATCACAGAAATTGTTTATCGGTTTCAAGCACATGTGTCCCTCATTAAGTAAACAAGACTGTTCAGATCTTTTTAAAATTACTGGCTCAAAAGGGATATTTTTGAATGCAAATTCAACACTCTGGTTTGCCACACTGTTCCACAAACAGCTGTGCTTGTTCACCAGAGCTGACAGTACTTTCTGGCACTGGGATGAAAGTGAACAGCAGGAGGCAGAAAGGATGGTAACTTGTTAATCCACTGCTGTGGTCCAAGCCCTTCAGACATGGCACATGTTCTCCTCTGATGACTTTGCTACAGGGTAGTAATCTCTGGCAGGGTCAGGATGGGCAGCCGGGATGAGTGACGCCTTCATGTGCCAAAGCAAGATTCACCAGGGTTTATCTGTTAGATCTCTAGGAAGCGTACTTAGATGCCTTCTTCAATGAGAGCTAATGTTATTTGCAAGAGACACTGTCCTGTGTGAGTTTCATCAATACCGTGTTTTCTGCTTTAAGCCTGTTCAAAGTGTTTTCATCTGTCAAAGTTAAATCAAAACTGATAATGTAACTGCAGCAGTTGGAATCCTATTGGCAGTGAAATTGTACATTTGTATGATGTTCCTGAATTTGGTTCTTAAGCCCTGGCTCCCATGTAGTAGGAAAAGAGGGTTGGATCATACCTAATGCACAATTTAAGCTGTGATTCAGATAGTCAGCCAGGTTATTTATGTCCAACAAGACATTAAAAGGCTAGAACACACCATAATACTTATTACCTTATTCCCGGACCTCCAGAAATTCTCGCTTTTCCTGTCTGTAGGATGTAATGCAATATAAGAAATGCAGCATTTAAACAAGGTCATTCTTGTTTCTTAGACTGAAAGAGATGGCTTTTTTCTCTTGAATCTTTGTAGGAGTTGGACCGTTCAGAACAGGGTGGAATGCCTCAGCTAGAACCTGTACTACCCCCAAGGTAAGTGCAATTCTTCAGTGACTCATTTAAAAGTGGCGTTTCTGAGTTAATTTGCCTAGTTAGTCTCACCACAGACACTACCAGCTCTAGCTGTAACTCAGTAGGCTTGAGTGGGTAGAATGCTCACTAATAAATAGGCAGGACCAAGTTGCTGGCTGATTAATACTTGTTTGTACATTATTGGTATGAGTAGGGAGATTATAGGAGGACAGCTGTTTGGCTCTTCAGCTAATGTGCAGTGGCTGCTGACAGTCATTCCTTTCTGCATCTTTAACCTTTTCACCCACAGCTGAACGTAGAACATCCTCTCCTGCATGTTGCTGACCTTTTGATCAGCAGTACTTGCACTTGTGGCCGGGTTTGAGTGGTGAAGGAATGGAGGTGGCAGATGCTGCCAACCCCAAAAAGGGCCAGCACCTTCCCAGAATCACTGGTTAGTTTATACAGATCGCTTCAGCCCTAAAATGCCTGTGAAGGTGTAGAATCAGTGATAACCTTGGGGTTTCATATTCTTTTGAACCAACCGGAAAGAAGATCTGCAGAGGCAAAAGTAGCTGGACCAGCCTTAAATTCAGGTCCTCTAAATTCCAGAGACAAACTGGAGGGAGATAAGGCATTGGCTAGCTAGCCCACTGCAGCTATCTCAGCGTCTGCACTCTAAATCTATGGGTTTAAACACAAGAGTTTGCTCTCTGTCAGGACAAAAGAATCTTTCGGTTATTAAACTTAGTCTACCAATAATAATAATAAGCATTCATTAACAGGAAAGAATGTGGTTGCACCCACAAGGAAACACCTCATTATTGCCCTTTATGGGCTTGTTACTTTCCCCCATTCTGTTTAGCATAATAGAATTCCTGATTCTTCCGATGGTCTCTGGAACTGCAGTAAATGTTTTGTCCTTTCACTCTTCTGCTCAAATGGATTTTTTTTTTTTTTTAATAAGCAATAATAGTTATCTGCATTGCTTGCTAGGGTTTTTTTTGTTTAGTTGAGTTGCCTTACAAGCATATGGGTTGGTTTGTTTCCAGATTTAATGCTTTCTAACTGGGAATTTCTCCTTTTGTCAATATTAAAAATGCTTAGTTTAGGATGAGGCCAGGAAAGGGAAGAGGTGGAAGTTGAACAGAAGTGGAAATTTTTTTTTTTTTTTAATTTAAAAAATAATTCATACTCAAATAGTAATAGAGAACTCTTATCAGGAACATTAATAGAGGACTGTCTTCTCAAGGGGTGGATGACATTCACAAAATATGTCAGGCTACACCAAAGATCCACTAATGCACATTTTTTGTGGTTGATAATTTTTACAGACCCTTGAGGAATTCACACAAGCAAACAATTATTCTGAATTATACTATATGGAAAAAAGAGAGGCAGCTGTAGCAGAAACTTGCAGTAACTGGCCAAAGATTTCCCAATAACAATCAAACAATATTGTATTTTTTGAATAGTGGCAGTACCAGGATTCTTACTAACAGGAAGCCAAAGTTTTATGTTCATAATGCTTGTTTATAACAGAGGTGATTTTTAATTAGCAAATCATTGATTTGGCCACACTCTTTGATTCTAAAAATCATGTCTCGTGTGTGTGTACTGTATAGACAGCTTTTTTTAATCAATGCTTAGTAAGGGGGATTTTTAGGTTTTAAATTGAAAAAAAAAAAAAAAAATACTACTGTCACTTACTAGTCTCTGATTTTGGTTTCTAAACTGCTGGTACACTGAGTGTGGTACCTCCAGCATTGCCAGAAAACTCAAGTATTTTCACTGGTGTTCTCTTTCTGCAGTAGACATCTGTTGCATAAAAATGGTAAATTCTGCTATTGATGCCATTGTGCAAAGTGATGTCATGAGTTTCAGGACAGGCCCAAAAGTCACTTCAGGTACATGACATCCCACGGAATGAGCTAGGCTGATTCCTGAAGACCAGCTAGATCAGCAGAGCTTCTTAGGTCTTTCACTAAAGCTCTCCACCAGAACTCCATCCTGAGGCAGCTGCAGACAAAGCGCTTTCTAAAGGTGGATTGCTGAAAGAAATCCTGCTTATGTAGTGGGCTCCTGAGAAAAATGGCAGGCTGTTGATAAAGTGGTGAGCAGACTTGGAAATATGTAGTCAAAGAATCAGTCTAAGGACTTGCTAGTCCAGTCCCAGTATCTGAAGAGTTCATGTATTCCCGGAGACCTTCAGGCACTACACACTCTACGGCCCACATCATCGTGAGTCACGTTTCCTTACTGCATACTCTATAGCTAGGGCTGTGGTGTGAGGAGGCAGGCTTATTAATATGCATATTTCTCTGATGGTTTGCTGAATTTTTAGGCCTGTGGATGGAAAAATTATACCTGCTCGACCTCCCCCACCTAAAGGTGTTCCTGGAAGGCCACCTCCACCAAAACTGTCTGCAGCCAAGACCACCTCCCATAAAGATGCTCTTTCACGATCTACTTCTGACATCGCTCCAGATAAAAAACCCAGCAAGTTCAGATTGGGACCCAAGAGAGCAAAAACTCAAGTCCTTAAAAGTCCAGATCCAGCCTTACCTCCTAGACCTAAACCAGGTCATCCTCTCTACAATAAATACATGGTGAGAGTTGAGATACACTGTCCGAGACTGTTGTTTATAAAACAGTGCTGGTTAAAATAATGAAAAAGGTAGTAAGGTAGGTTACTGTGATGCAGCTTTCAAAGTGCATCTCTCAGCATGCTATTCCTTAGAAAATACTAATAGATAAATAGTAATAAGGTAATACTGGAGACAGCAATATATACATGCAAAATGTAGATATATGTGTGTGTATATTTTGGTGTATGTATGTAATTTATATTTAATGCATAGCTTTTGGCTTTGGGGGGTTCTTTGTACAGTCACCACTTGTGAATTCTATTACAGGACATAAAATGATGCTAAATAATTGCATTTGTATATTGTTTTTCTCTGTATATGTCAAAATGCTTAAGAAAATTGGGGGAGCATTAGAACTTAAGAAGTTGTTTACCTTGCTTAATCAAGCCTGCAAAGAGAGAGGAATATAATAACATCACTTACCTTACATTTTCATCTTATTGATGCTATCCTTTTTCATTATAAAAATGTTTATTTTTGGTATTGCATGTGTTGTTAGGGAATATTAAATATAAACGGATCGACATTACAGATAAAAAGGAGAGGGTCTTTCCGCAGATGCTTGAAACTGGTCAATGATCAGAGCTACGAGTGCTGTTGTCAAAAAAAGCACCCACAACCTTATCATGAACGACATCAACATTCAGCATGAAGAGGAAGCTTTTTGTTGCCTTCTTTTTGATCTTCACTCCTGCATTTAGATGAAGGTGCAGCAGAGGAGCAAGAAATAGAGAGAAAAATGTATCTATGTGGATGGTAGGAACACCTTTGAGATAAGGGAAGCATGTTGCTTCCTCTCTGGTGTAACCACACCTATTCACATAAGAAGCGCGTGACATACTTTTTTAGATGAGAATTTTTTTTTCAGTAGCAGATCACGAGTAATTCCCTGCTCTCAAGTGTTACGTGCAATGAAATTTTCATCCCAGATTGTTTTTCCAGTGCCCCGCATGACAAACGAATACATTTCTATGTCAGTGTGTTGGTGAACATCATGTACCATATGGTATGATACCAGTTAGGTGGCTAAGAAACTTTTAAAGCAGATGACAACACGTCAGTTTCTCAGAGTGGCAGTTTGTATCACTAGTAGTCTGTTCTGAACACCTTCCAAAGGAGCTTCTCCTCTTTCACTGGACTCCTAAATTAGTTACCTGGAGTATGTGGTTTGAATAGCTCCATCGTCTGACCACTTTCACTGGCAGTGGGAATTTCAGGTGCTTAGAAGTAAAACAAACTTTTCCATTTGCCTTTTTCTATTCAAGCTACCTGTGCCTCATGGAGTTGCCAAGGAAGATTGTCTTCCCAGGAACACTGGAGAACCGCCCTGTAAGGTAAGGAATTTTTTTCTGCTGGTCGATATGTAATGAGCAAGACTTCTGTTGTATCAGGTGCTTTAAAGGTTACACTGAGAAAGGTAATAGTGGTTTATTAAATCCTCGTGTTTCTTTAATAAACACAAAACAACCACCAAAACAAAACCCAGTAATGGCGATTTGCCTTATAGCACAGGGACGTTCTGCTTAGGAGGCAGAGCAACAGTAATTACTTGGAGTGCCAGAAGGGAGATGAAATTGGTCAAGTTCCTCTGTCTCATAGGAAGATAATCACTCCCTTGGCTGAGTATCTGAAAAACGGGCAAAAGATAAACGAGTAGTTTTCTGAAGTGGCTGTACATGATATATCAGTGAATTGGCTTTGACGTACGGACTTCAAAGTATTTTCCTCTCTGCTTCTAGAGAACTTAACCTGTTTTTAGGGCATGACTGTATTAATATTAAATAGCTAGTATAAATTATAGCTATAAGAAGCCTTTTTGATTATTATCAGAAATCTACATGGCTGAAATAGAAATCTATGCAATCTGTTGTCATCTGTTGTAATTCATATTATTCTGGCCTTATCTTTGTTCGTGTTGGGATTTTTGGTTGGGTTTTCTGTGCGCAATGAATTACTTTGAATATAATTCACACACAGTGATTGTCATCAGTACAGTCTAAAAATTCCTAGTGGATGGGATAGAGAGGAAGGCTCAGCATTTTGAATATGATTTCCCTTTATAAAGTTCCAACAACAAAATTGTTATTTCTCCTCAGCATCATCTTCCTGTAAGCAAAGGCCTAGTGGCTGGCTCGCCCCTCTAAAATGCTTGGCAGTCGGCTGATGTGCTGCCCCTGCTGGGGAGAGCTGGGCTGGGGCGTCCTCTCTGAGCAAGGAACGGGGCAAAATTTGGCCCCAATCCTTGCAGTGAGAGTTGATACCAGTGTTCCAGGTTTCTGACCCACAGAGATAGCTGAGGCTTTGTCCGTACTGGGAAAAGCTACATGCCTTCCCTTCCTTTTACTGCCTCAGAAGTAGATTTTGGTGAAATGCATTCTGGTTTACACTGGCGAAAGGCATACAGAATTCAAACCCACAGCTGTATGACCAATACTCACTGTTGGCTCCAAAGGTGATTCTCTGATACCAGAACAGCATTGTGTCCAAAGTCAGAAAATTACTTTCAGAGTACGTAACATAGAATCTCTGTTAGTATCTTCCATGATTTATAAACTACTTGGATTTATTTGTTGTTGTCAGGATTCAAACCACCCTCCAAAAGTTCCTGACACAAGTGCACCTCATGCTGTAGTCCTGCATGATTTTCCTGCAGGTAAGCAAATGTGAATATTCTGGAAGCTTGTTTTACTTCAGGACTTTCAAATGGGAATTTTCTTAGGAATTAGTGTGTAAAAATTATGAGGAAGCTCAGCCTGCAAGATCTGCATGTAGAGTTGTTCAAATCCATGGGTTTATCTGTAGTTGGGCCAGTCTTTTAGTTAAAGCTAACTGATTTATTGAGCATAATTAAGACTTTTTGAAAACTCATTCTGATTTTGCCTGTGGTATTTATATGAAGAAGGTTTTACTTAGAGAAAATCAATGAGAGTGACAACTACCATTAACTGAAATGATGCTGTCTTACAGAGCATGCTGATGACTTGGACCTTCATTCTGGAGACACCGTTTGTCTTTTGGAGAAAATCGATAATGAGTGGTACAGAGGAAAATGTGGGAATCACACAGGGATATTTCCTGCCAGCTTTGTTAAAGTAGTTGTATGTAGACTTTGTATACGTTGCTACATAAGATCCTGTTGTGTTTGTTTTCTGGTTCTATGTTACCATAGCTCCTGTGTGCTTAACTCCATTCTGTGCTTAGATAATCTCTTTTCCCTCTGGCAGCACAGAAGACATATCAACTTGTTTGTATGGTATTAGAAAGATGCTTGACTTGGCACGACCAGCTTGAGTTATGGGGATTATTTTGCTGCTAATTTGAAGCCAAGTGAGAAAATCATGGCCCTCACCAGATTCTCTTTGTTAACCTGTGTAGTTTCTCAGGGTCTACAGAGCAGATTATTTTCCACATCTGCGTATAAGAATCAACACTCAGTAAGATGGTTGACTCTCCCCACCCCCCCAGCTTCTCTCATTTTCTTGTCCCTTGAACTGTATTGGAATCACCACTTTTATAGCCATGTAGTAAACTAGGTCAGGGCAGCAGTTGGGCCCAATGAAACATCTTTCTTTTTCTTCCTAGAATATTTTTTTTCCAGCTGGATCAATTCACCTAAGCAGCTTAGTGAGTGGCTGCACAAATGGTTGTGCTGGCCCAGGGGAAAAAGGTTGTGTTGTTGCAAATGAGCAGCTTAAAGCAATCCTGTTACTGCGTGTGACACTCGACAGTAAATGTCAGGCAAGAGACAGGTGCTGGTTTAGAGCCCAACGGCAATTAACTGAGTGCCTCACCTTTAAAAGATACGGTATGGTCCAGTGCATCAAAAGCTGGGTCAAATCTATTGCAAGCCTGAGACTGAAGTCCGTTTTTGTGACAGCAGAAAGGGCTGTTGGGCTATCCACACCAGCCAGCTGGGCACGGGGGAATGCTGCAGTGACGGTGTATGGCTGGGCACTACAGGCAGTGAGCGTCTGTGTCAAGCCAGGAGAGGTGGCAGAGATGAGCACTGCTGCTACGTGGACAATACCAAGGCTTTGGTAACCGTCAGGGAGTGCAGGGTGTCTGGTTAGTTTGTAATGGTGTTATTGGAGACAGATTTTAAGTTCTGAGAGGTGCTGGAGAATAAAAACAAAACTCGGGGTTAGTGATAGTGGAACCATACTCGATTCGCTTTCACGAGAAAGATTTATTAGCTAAATTGGTTAGCAGTTTCTACACAGACCAACAAGTTAATTTAAAAGCTCTTGTTAATACTGATGGTTAATAGAGAACTCAAGATTTCATGTTGAAGCAGTGGAATGAGTATTTGGGGTCAAAATCAGCATTGATACAAACAGATACAACTTCATAAAAGAGAGGGAAGATGCGTTTCAAATTTCTGTTTGAGCTGTAAAAGGTGGTTACCCTTTGAGTGCAAAAACCTGTTGTTTCAGCAAAATTAAAAAAAAAAAAAAAAAACAACAACCAAACAACCAAAAAAACCCACAAAAAACAACCCCAAAAAACCCCTGCAGTACATGAGGCTAATTCTCCTGTTCATTCATGTCAGATTTGATCTTGATACAAGGTCTCTGTACAATACACTATAGTGTGTTTTACAGTATTGAGCTGGGTAGTAGCTTAGGTCTGAACACCTAACACTAATACATGGTTATTACTTCCCACAGAACCTCCAGAGCACACAGGTACCAGGCTCCTCTGGCAAGAGCACTGCAAAGATGATTTGTCCTAAAAGGCAGCTTGATTTCCTCCAGTTCTTCACATAAGCTAATGAAACATTCTTGTTGATTTTTATGGGAACTGGCTCATGCGATAGTGAGCTGTAACCCAGAGCTGCTTGCCAGGGTCTCTAGGCTTTTGTAGTCTTATGCATCTCACCACCAAAAATACAGTTGAAGTCCTCTCATGATAAGGGACTTGAATGCAGTCTGATACATCTATGTATTGATTTTCTAGCTTATATTTCTCCAATTCAAGTAAGATTTGAGATGTATTTTTGTTTGGAGGACAGCTGGCTACCAAAGCCCAGAAAGGATAAGTGTAAACAATAATTCTGTCTATTGTGACATACTGTGCTAGTAAATAGTGAAAGGAATTACCAGTTGAAAGTTGGGAGCTAAATGCAACAACATGTAGTAGCATCCAGTCCCATATTCTGTCAATCAATCATGCCACAAGTAGACACAGTAAAACAGAAAACATCAAGTAGTGCTCCTTGTTTGCATGAGATTGAAAAATGAGAAATCGGGCACACAAAACTGAGGGCTACATTAATGTGGTCATATATCATAGAATGCCAGGGACTACAGAGCATCCCATGGAAGTCATAACTGGAGCTGATGCTTAGCTAAAAAATAGATTATTTTAACCAGTTCTAAGTTTATTGTAGTTACATTGCTGTGAGCTTGAAATGGAAGAATTTACTTAATTTTGTTGTCTTAATAGATTGATGTTCCTGAAGAAGCCAACCGGAAAAAAATACCCTGTTCATCACGATGTATAAAGTGAGTTAGATTTTATTTTCTTTCTCATGGTGATTTACTAGGAAGTAAAAAGAAAGGTAACTTTGAAGCAGGTGTTATCTGCACCAAGGTTAATATGGTTAACAGTTTCTTCACCAAAATATATTTTAAAAATTAAGCTCTCAAAACTGAAAGTTTATGTTTTAATAAAACTCATATTCAGGTAAAAAAAACAAAACAAAACAAAACAAAACTAAAAACTCACTTCATGGCTTCAAAAAATTGGTAATCACTTTTTCTTTATGATAATGTTTATAAAGATATAGTCCCCATTGCTCACTTTCCTTCCTCTTACGAGCTGTATTAGAAGAGCATTTCTCATAATTTTTTACTGAAAATTGGTTACAGAAACCGTGAACCAATCTAATGAACTTCAGCAGCACTGCACTCTCCTCTCTTTGCTCCTGGCCTTGCTACTTTCTTCCAGTGTCCTCGTAAGATGTACCATGGTAGTAGGGCTCCTACTCATATGAAAGAACTAGATAAAATGGAGCAGAATATAACTGTACTTTAAGTAGAGAAACCTATCTAACCTTAAAGTCTACAACTATACGGGTGACTCCAAAGTTCCCCAGATCAAATTATCAAATGTTCTTCAAGCACGTTCATTCCTGATTTACAAATGACTTGTACTAAGATTTGTGCGCAAGGTACAACTTTCCATGCTATTTTTACTCAACAATGATTTATTGGATTTTGTCATCATTCACTGCAGCAATTGAAGCAAATTCAGGCAGAGGCAGAAAGTACTAGTATCAGGGGGATCATTCAGTTTGTTCTTCAGGTCGAGCTTGGCTTGTCTTAAACTTTAAAAGCTGCTTCTGCAGCTGAAAAAGGAACAGGAAGTGCTAGCTCTGTCTTGAAGCTTTTGCAAAGATACGAGTGGGGGACAGGGGTGGCAATCAAGCTTCTTACATTGCTTGTGTGCGATGATGCTACAGAAAGCATTAAAGCCTGCTATCGCTTTTTTTCCAGCATGGTATTTCTGATAAATCAAAAATTTTCTTAATTTATTAAATTTATTGCATTAGTTTATTAAATTATTAATTCTATTTAAGTGACGAGAAAAAAATTCCTTTTCTTTCAGTATTATACCAAATTGTGTAAAATGTATCAAATACCTTGATGTCTCTTTCTTTGATAGATAAGTTATTTCCCCATGTCTGGGATAGATTTTACAGAATAAAGTTTATCAAAGTAGATTAAAAACTAGCTTCTCCCTATGAAACCTTCCTGTATTTGGAATTTGGGACAACTATACCGCACACGGGCCCCCACCTCCCCATGTTTGATTGCATCTAAATTGGATGCTAATTGGGATGCAGAAATTGCTCCTCCAGACTCCATATTCATCCTCCTCAGAAAGCAGAGATGAGAACCAGGGCTAGACCTCCAGTTTCCACCTGTTCTACCTTCAGTGCATTCTGTCATCATTTTAATGAAAGGTACCAAGCCATACTTTGCACAATGCTGCCTTGTTATTAAGTGGACAATTTCTCTTTTGTTTGTGCAGAGGCCCAAGATGTGTAGCACGATTTGAATATATTGGAGATCAGAAAGATGAACTCAGTTTTTCAGAAGGTGAATCTATTATCCTTAAAGAATATGTAAATGAAGAGTGGGCCAAAGGAGAGCTCAGAGGCACATCTGGAATTTTCCCCTTGAACTTTGTGGAAGTAATTGAAGATCTGCCTGAAACAGGTATGACTATCTCTACGTAAAATCTTCAAGAACATGGTTTTGTACTGCATGCATACAGGCAGCATATAGGAGATAAGTCCAGAGAAAATGAATGCAAGAAAGAGGTAGAAAGGGAGAGAAGACAGATTAAAAAAAAAAATCAAAAGGAATAGTAGGGCTTCTTACAAAGCTATTCTTAATAATCACTTTGAATATCTAAGATCTCTATCATGAGTAATGTGGAAGTAGTCACTGCTGGTGTTCTAAGTTGTGCTTTACTTATACAGGTACAGGAGCAGCACTGAAGAACAAGGTGGAGGTTTCTTCTTCCCTTCCTCAGGTAATAAAGTTTTAGAGGTGAGGGCCAGAATTTACATAGTGGTTTCACCACTTTACATAAATTTTCTATTAGCTGCACAACTTTAACCTGAAAGTAACACAATTCCCACAGCACACAATGCTGCATGGTCACATTTTGACAGTTGGCCTAAACTGATTGAATTCATAGCTTCTGGCAAATTAGCCTAAGTAAACTTTAATCCTTTGTGCTTAAGCAAATTCTTCTTAGCTCTATTTTAAGTATTGCTGCAGTGATCTAATTTTGAATTTTTTAATCCTGTCCCCTGCTACCATTGATAAAAAGGAATGTGTCTGAGCCTAGATTAAATTCCGTGGTAATTGCTGAAATGCCATTCTAGTCTACATCTGCAGTGACACTGTTGTATGAGAGAAAGTCAGGACACCCGTGTTCTATATAGCTGCTTTCACCAGTATCCATCAGCTTATGGGCTCCATTAATGCTTCTATAATTAATGCATTTCTTCTGTTCACTTGAATAGAACAACAGACACTCAGTAGAGTGGTGTGAAGCACTTCATGATTTTACAGCAGAAACCAAAGATGATTTATCCTTTAAAAAGGGAGACTACATCCAAATACTGGAACAAGTAGATTCAGAGTGGTATAGAGGAAGACTGAATGAGAAGGAAGGGATTTTCCCGGCAGTTTTTGTTCAGACCTGCTCAGGTACAGTGCTCCTACTAGATGACAATTCATTATTCTTTGGGTAGTGACAATCTGACAAGACAGAGTTCTGGGAGAACCCAACTGTTCCATTGCCTTAACAAGCCACGCACCACCAGAGTCCTTAATATCCTGAAGCTAAACCAAGTATTGAACCACCCTCTCTGGTAATGGCAATATAATGCTCTAGTCAGCAAGTAATCAGGGAGGTGATAGACATGCTGGAACACTTTTAAAGTGTGGTTTGGGCACAGGCATGACAGGGCCATTGAGGTGCCTGTAGTAAGATGGGGTGGAGCTAGGTTCTCCCCCAGCTGAAGAGAAACACTGCAGCTGTGTCTTGGTCCAAAACTATTGTAATCACCTTGCTGAAGCAAGGAGCGAAGGGTGCTTGCTCTCCTCTAGCTTCAGTTTGGCCTCCAAACCAACGCAGTCAAAACCTTCACAGAAGACACAGAAAATCACCATTTTTTCCCCATAGTTTTTGCACATAAACCCCTCCTTTTCCACTTAACTGGCAAATAGCACACCCCGTGCCACTTCATATCCAAGTACAAAGAGGAAAAGACAGCTTTTATTAGATATCATCAATGGAAAGTTCAAGTTAGTTAACTTTAAATTTAATCCTCTCAGAAGCAGAACTCTGAACGTGTTAGTACTGTAAAACGAACTGGCATCAGCAGAGATTACTTAGTAGCAATAGTAATAATATCTGGACATGCTGAGGCACACTGGTGGGGAGAAAACCTGGGAATGACAGGAAACATCTCCAAAAATCTTTATTTCACTCCAATCCATATACCTTGTCTTGTCCATGTTCCACAGCCAGGGTGGAGCTGTCACAGGCTGTAGGAGGGAAGAAGGGAAAAGCCAAAGCTCTTTATGATTTTCATGGAGAAAATGAAGATGAGCTTTCCTTCAAAGTAAGTACTGCTCTCAGCCCAATTTTTCAAAAGGTCTTAATGCTCCTGAAGAATGCTAAAAGTAAGATTTATCTACTGTGAAAACAGGCACATAGCCACAATGTGAAAGAATGAAGCGCACACAGAATAGGCATAGATACGAACACATTTGATAAATGGGTCTCAAATTTTTGCCCTTACCAGTTCTGTTTCACATTGGCAAAATCTTCATTGGAAAGAGGTCAGGAGTCACAGTAGTCCTTTGTCTTCTCTGATCCAGCAAACATGACAAGACAAACCAACCTCACTTTGCAGTACATTTAGTTCTTGGCCAGCTGATATAGGTCAAGGGAGCCTCTTTAAAGAGAAAAGGCAGTGAGAAGGAAGATGAATAAGAGTGCCAGTGCTACAGCAGCAGTGCCTCTAAGGGACACCTACTACAAAATCTAAAAGTTTGGAAGCACAAGACAGTTGCCATGGGAGCAAGGGGAGAAATGAAATACTTGCTGGATGCCCAGATAATATTAAGAAGCATGAACAAGAAACAGCATGCCCTTGTAGATTCAAAGTCGTGATTTAGGTAACTGTGTCCTCAAAAGCAAATTTCAGAGAAAGAGCAGACTTTCACAGCAGGCACAAAATTGTGTTTATCAGCTGGAACGCACTATTTTCTCTTCTTAAAACTAGCAAAATAATGAGTTTTAAGTGTTATGCAGCCTGCAATGCTGAAAGGATAAATGATTCTTTATTCTTTAAAGCAGAAAAGGGAAACAGAGTTACTGGAAGAAGGGCCAGGGCTATGACAATACTTCAGATGAAGGGTGGGGCATGGGACAATGAAAACATGAACAAGGATCAAACATGAGGAGCTGCAGTTTATTTTAAACAGGCACACTGAGCTACTTAGACAACTGGTTTCTTTTTTGGGGAAAGGAAAGTTTCCAAAGGAAAGAGGAAAGTTTCTAAGTGCTGGAAAATATTGAGACTAAATTGGGAAAAAAGAAAAAAGTCTTTGAAGTGTTCTGAGAAAAGAAACCTTCATAACAGAACAGGGAAACACACTGCAAAAACAAGTAAGGCAGGGGGGGCCACCTCTCTAACGTACCTACCTACCTGGAGAGCTTAAGCAATGCAAGAAGTCATCCAGCAGTACTACTTTCCCCTTCAGGAAGGTGGTGATTTTTCAGTAGACAAGTATTTACCAAGAGAAGCTTTGGCTGGTTTCAGCAGAAGAGACTGGTGACGCCCTGCTTCTATTTGATTGATATTAATTGCTTCTGAATAGCATCAGCTCTGTATGCATTAACACTGCACCTGTAAGCTGTACTGGCTCACGTTCCTCCTTCTCTTACAGGCAGGTGATACAATAACAGAGCTGGAAGCTGTAGATGAAGACTGGATGAGTGGAGAGATACGAGGAAGGTCTGGGATATTTCCCAAGAACTTTGTTCAGATTTTAAAAACACCATGAAGTGTTGCCTCCCTTTGCACTCCCTACATGTGGGAGAGAATGTTTTCTATCCTAAAGGCACAGGAAAGATATCAGCGTGTTTTGACTATCGATGTTTTGCACTACTTTTTCTAGACAGTCATACTAGTATCTTGAAGTCAAATAAGAAAACTTGAGTCTTTTGTGACCGTGTACGTAGTCATGCTTCATGAACGCTCTGAGAGCAAATACAAGCAGGATTTTTAGTGGTTTCCAACTAGGGAAACACTGTGGTGCAACACCATTTTAACTTAAATATCATTCTAGTATGTTTACTATCTGGTATTACATTTATCATGCACAAAGTCTGCATAAAGTAAGCTGCTTGGGGCTTTTTAAAAAAACTTTTTAAAATCTAAACTTAAAAAAATTATTTTTAAGATATAATTACAGTACTCAGTATGTAGATCAAGTTTGATATTCAGGTTTCATTACTGCTTCAGTTCCACATTAGCAGTAGAATCCACTTGTTTTAGGACTTATAGGATAAGGAAGATAATGGATACTTCATAGTAGAAAAATATCAAATTAATACTGGTAAGAGGGAAAACTCAGAAGCAAATCCTTGTGTAGTATTTTTCTATTTTTAGCCCAAGCTGCTCATACAGGAAGATCACAAAAGTAAAACTTCAAGTATTTTGCCTCTTAACAAGTAATGTTCAAAATTGGTATAAAATCATCCGAGACCTTCTCCCCTTCCCCCTGAATCCTCTCCAGATCCAGGTTTAGATTTTTCTACTGCCTGCTGCTGTGGGAGCGCCATCATTCCCTTCTTTGCCAGCTGAAGTTAGCTGTGGCAGACACAGTGTTTACCAAGCTCTCTCAGATCTCCTCCATGTAGTAGCTGCACTATTCCAACTATTTGCCCCTCCACCCCCTTCATGTAAGGAGAAAGCCAGTCTTCACTCAGTCTGCATTTCATTTGTCACTCAAGCACTGGAACATACTTCAGTAACACTATTCCTATCCTTAACATGAAGGATATTATACAGCCTTGGTTTCAGCTTTCAGCAGACATGGAATTAGTTTGCAGTTTGTTACCACATACCAACTATACTGAGCATAATTATAACTGGTCTGTCGAGGCCTCGAGGAAAACATGCCTGGCAAGAGGTTACTTACTTCAAGAAGCTCTAAAAAAGGCATTTAGTAAAAAGCAGCAGTGAGACTTGAACGACAAAGTAAGGCATGACTGAGGTAGCTTCATGTTATAGGAACTTCTGGTAGTAAATTCCTTTTTCCAACACTTGGCTTCTGACAAAATAGTTAAATGCATCTTGATTAACTGCTAACTTCATCAGACTGGAACAGAAAAAATTATGCTGCAGGTGGCTCCTTCATTGCTGGCAGTATTCCATCACTTTTGTACTATGTAACAAAAAAGAACCAGTAAGCCCTCAGCACCAGTCATTACTTCAGAGATCCAGGTCACTGGGTGTCAAGACAGCCTTACAAGATTTTAATTTGTGGGTCTAGAAGTTCAGATTGCAAGAGGGCCAAAACTTGAGTGGTGGATGGAGACTGGAAACTAGAATCACGACTGACCTTGAGACGGTTTTGACTTAAGTCATGAGCCTGCCTACAACTTTATCGGTACAAGGTCTGAGTATTACAGCAACAAATACCTCCCCCTGCAAAACATCGGGATGCATTTATACTGGTGTCTAAGCCAGCTGGTGAGGGCAGCCCCCCCACCCTCCGCACTGCCCTTTGGTTACCGCCGCAGCGGGCAGAAACAAGCTCACAGCCAGGATGGGACCGGAGGGCTGCCCGCCCCAGGGAACAGGCGTCCAGCTCGGGAGCGGAGCGGAGCTTCCCCTGACCTGAGCACGAGGAACAGGCAGCACAGACACCAGGGGCCCCCGGCACCGTTCCGCTCTGGGGAGAGGCCACAGCACTTGCAGATATAGACGCAGGCATTAGGGCCCCCCCAGGGCCCCCCCCCCCCCCATCTTCTTCCTCCAGAAGCTTCATGTACATGAAGCGTTGTGTATTTAAACTGCACCAGTAGCATTCACACAATCAGGGGATGAAGATCATACAAAGTTTTCTGATGTGACAAGAACTGGATTTCTGCTTTCATTAAGGGGATTAACCTTATAAAAACTACTATGAATTATGTGCTATTCTAGAAAGATAAAAACATGACAATTTATACAGCTTTATTCAGTTTTACCATTCCCAAACAAGCCTAGTTTAATTCAACAGGAGTTCTGGATAATGTAAGTCCTCCTTCCCAGTCTCCAGGCTCTCCTGTCAGATTTCAAGTGTTCGTACTGTTTATTCCAATAAAATACCTCTCTCCTAGAGAAATCTGAGGAAAAACATGTAGACAGATAGTTTTCCTGACTCCTGCAAGCCCACTCAAGACTTTTCAACCATAAACTTTCAGTGGCTCACCCTATTAAAACAGGCTTCTTCCACCCAACGCATTTCTTGACCTGCAGTGAGCACAGCAGGGGGAGAAGAGCAGAACCAAGCAAAGCCCACAGCAACAGAATACCCAGGTCCTCCAAAGACAGACCATGTCATTGCAGTGGTGGACGAGGCTTAAGTGTAAGACATTTACTTACTGTTTGTCTGGCAGTTTTCTAATATTTTGATACAAGTCTCAAAAGTAGAACTGAATTTTTCTATTTTCAATTTTCTCTTCCCTGTTTTTATAACTGTGTATTGACCTATTGTTTTTGTAACTTCCACTGAACGTTTAGTCAGTGCCTGGCAGTAGATAAGACCATGCTGCTTTATTTTAATCATCTCCTCCCTATTATGCAGGGCAGGAAGAGCAGCAAAGCCTTATCTTCAGAGCAAGGAGTGACATCTAAAGGCTGCTTGCATTACTGCAAGCAGGTAAGACCGTATTTATTAAAGCCAAAAGAAGGGATTTTCTTAAGACTTGATGCCTAATATCACCATGAAACTGCATACAGTTTGTAACATAAAATTCCTAAAGTGTACAGTTCATAATCTGAAAAAAAAAAAATCTGAGAATGAGATGGAGCACAAATCTCAACTGCAATATAGTAGCAAATTTCAGCTGTAACCTTGAAATTCAGCTAGACCTCTACATGTTAGTATGTTAATAAAAGCCTTATTTCTCAAAGTGTTTTCTGTTTGACCCACCCTCTGGAAATACCTTCAGGAAGACATCTTTGTTCTGTGTACAATTAACAGTGTCCTAAATAAATCTTTGTTAAGTCCAGTAAGTTTGTTATGGTACCTCTGTAAATTAAGTATGTATTTAACCAATAAAATTTTTATAATTAAGTGATGATGGCATTTTTATTGTCTTATGCTGTGTGGAGAGCTGATCTTTCCACGTGACATGACAGCTTAACGGATCTCATTCTGCTTATGTATTTAATCCAACAGCAAAAAAAAAAAAAAATCCTACTGCCAAACAAATAATATATCACATCCCTTTACATGTAGTCCAGACCCCTCAAGACTCCGGACGGCTTTAACAGGGTTTAACCCTTCGGATTTGGGTACGTTTCACACGTGCCACCTGCAGAATCTATGGTATTTGCTACCTGCAGCAAGCAGCCATCGTCGCAGGCTATCGCACAAGATGGTGATGCTCAACTCTTGCTGTGGCAACATCACTTATGACAAAGACATGGACTGACCCTGAGCCAATCAGCCATTCCACACAGTCAGCTGTGCTCTGCTGATTGCTGCTATTCATACACCATCATTTTTCAGCTGATATTCATACAGAGAATAGAGAGGATGCCCCAGATTCTCCTTCCTGATTACTTTTCCCACCATCTGAAATAATTTTATAAAGCATGCATTTACCCAGAGTGCCTACGTGGCAATGCCGGCAGTCTCTACTGTTCCAAAAAACTGATTTTAAAACCTGAAAAAAGCATCCAGAATCCTCTTGGAGAAGCCTTTTTGCAACATATAGTCCTCAGATGTACAGCTGAAGGCAGAAGTAACAGCATAACAGACATGCAAGTTTCCAGAAATGAATGTAGAAACCACCCCTTAGGATTTGTAACTCTCCTTGTCTAGAGCGCCCAGGCCAGTGCAGTGCCTTACAGTGTGTCTGGTGGCACTGTCGTGAAGCAGAGAAAATGCAGCCAATGCACAGCCATTACTAGAAAGCTCTGACAGGCCCTACTGTAATGCAGGACTTGAATATATGCACGTGTGTATGTATATATATATATATATATATATACACATACACACACCTGCATTAAAACTGTAGTACATTCAAGGATTTTCAATCTCTCCACACTTAGCCTAAATCACCTGGGTTGTTTTGGTTTTTTTTTTTTTTAAAGTTTTAGTTTTTGTTAAGGGGCATTTGTTGCAGTTTATGGCTTCAAGAATATGACTGTCTGGGACTCTTGGAGGGGAACAATACCTGTCTCAACACTACAGATGAAGAGAGCAACGAAGATTAAAAGCAGCACTATTCCTTTCCCCTGTTTTGGCACCAGTGAGTTTGGAGCACTCGTTACCCTTCCACCACACAAACTGTAAAAAGCAGAACAAGTAGGTCTGTATTGGCAACCCAGTAAAGATGGTTACCGGAATATTACGTCACAGGCTATTCTAAGTATCATCCCCGGTATTAAAATATTAACTCAGAATCACAACATTACATCACATCACCTGCAATCTTCTAAATTAATTGGAAAACATTATTTTTCTTTAGCATATTTGCTCCAAACCAGAATTAGCAAGTAGGAAAGGGTGAAAATCCCCAACACTTAAGAGTACAGCTCTCCCAGGTGGTAGCATCCCTCTTTTCCCCTAGTATCTTTGTTGCAATGGTAACATTTAGTTGCTTTCCTCCATTTCTTGGCCATTTCACAGCTGACTGCAAGAGCCACCACTATCTCAGTGACCTCCCCATATCAGCCCGTACCATTCTGTTCTCAGGTTTTAAATCACAAGCTTACCAACAATTTAACGGCACAAAGTTTAGCTTTGTTGCCCAGTGCCAAACAAAACATGCTCACAGTGCAAAATATTCCTTGTTTTAGCCAGAAAAAAACACACCCTGCAACTTTTATGCTGGCATAAACTGAACAAGCATCAAAAAATGTTATCCGATAAGGGAAAAAGCACTCTTAAAATGACTCAGATCACTTAATTGTGCTTTATTTTCAGAACACAGACCACTGTCTTCCTATGGTAGAATTTTTTCCCCCTGAAGTTCCGCAGGTTTTTCAACTGTGATTATGGTTACCCTGCAGTTCTGACAGAGGCTATAAAAATACATACAACCCCACTTTTAAGCATATTCTGCATCCCTACACTGCTGAAAACCAACGCTGCTTCCATAATCAAAATTGTAACTTAAAAAGATCTTTTAACACCTTTTGACTATCAGAGGCCAATCTATCCCATGAGAGGTTGTATCACATTGCCACCAAGAAGCTTAAACACACACACAGGTAATTCTCCAAGTGGCCTGGATAAATCCTGAAGACTTCCTTATAATAACAACCTCTCAACAGTACATTTCCCTGTGTGGCACTCCGTTTGCCCTGCACAATGCTCCTTTGTGAAGCACCTTTCACCAATACCACCTCTACACGCATCCACAGTATTTCTTCTGAGAGGACCAAAATTACTGTGGAAAACCCAACATACAGAATCTTTGGTATTGTACTTTCCACCTTTCAAAAAGGACAGCCCACCTTCTTCCACCCATCTCGCAACACCAATCTGAAAAACAGATCTCCAAAACAAGTAAAGTTTTATTTTTTAAACCATGGCTATAGGTTTACCTTATTAAAAAACCATCCACATACCCAGTACCAATATTGTCTAGTAGCAATACAGGCAACCAAACATTAGTTCTGTATATTTAAAACTTTTATTTTCGATCGATTTTTAGTTTCAGACAGACTCTTGCACGGGCGGCTCATATCCATCAGCTCGCTCTACTTTAGTGCCTGCCTCGTCCCCAGAAGGTTTTCCAGCACCACCACCTTCACCATGCAGTTCCATCAGCTTGCCCACTAAAAAGAAGTAGTATTATAAATAGTGAGAGATGCACCCATTTAAACAGTTTCAAATTACTGAATTGCTCATCACGAAGAAATTAAACCACCAGCACATTTAACACAGGTATGACCAAGTCCATTCCAGAAAGCTCACGCACGCCGATGCCGCTGCAGTAACTGACAGTCGGACAAAAACAAGGAGTGAAGTGCTAGATAACAAAACTGCAAATTAAACTTTTTAAAAAGAGGTGAAGTCAAGAACCTACTACTGCATTATATGGGAATGTCAGAAAGTAGGAAAGTAGAATCATTCCATGTCATTTGGGACCGAAACATCTTGTCATCATTCATTCCCAAGCCGAAGCCTCTGCACACTCAGCAGCAGTTTCAAGCAAGAATTCAAAAAAGCTCCAAAGTGAAGAATCACTCCTTGGCTTTCAAGGCTGAAAGCCAAGTGTCGGGCTAGAAGGACAAGCCTTTTTACTACTACAGCTACTTAAGCTTATGGTGCTGCTTTAACATCTTTACACAGAAGCAAACGCATCGTAAGCTAACTGCTTCCCACATCCTCCTCCAAGAACACTGAACATCTGGAGCAACTGACTTACACTCAAACTTGGGCTTCTTCAGCATCTTAACCTTGCGGACATACACATCGTGAAGAGGGTAAATGGACTGACACGCCTTCTCTATGTCTTTGCCAATGCTGTCTGGGATCCTGAAAAATCGGAGCACATCCATATTAGAACGTTAAAAAACTGGACCTGCTTTTTCATCAGCAACACAGGCTTAAAAGAATTCTTAAGAATGCAGCATATTCTCCAGAAGTCTGCATCATCAATACTACCTCCGCTCGCTTAATTTTCTTCAAGTATGTTTAGATTCTAAGACATCTTCCTTGCCATTTTTGAAGGGATACAGTGCAAGTGTGGTCATTTTGAAAGCACATCTGCAACCAAACGGCACACTTGGGAAAACTTCCCTCTAGCAGAAGAACCCAGAACATTCGCAGCCCCAACTGATCAGAATTAGAATTTCAGTCTGTAGAAACACAAATCAAAAACTCTCTGGAGAACCTGACTTTACATTTATACAAACATGACGGTTGAAGGAAGTCAAAGATGATGCAGAGACTAAGAGAGTATTTGAAGAAAATGGCACATCAGCTTTTTAACACGAGAGGCACCTCGCCTGGTCTCTGCCAAACAGTACATGAAGCACCAGCTTTCATTCCCCAAGTACTCAGTAACAACTGACCAACTATTTAAACTACAGGGGAGAAAAAAGGAAAACGCAGCCAAAGCTTACAGCTTATTGACAACTTCTTTCAGGTCATTGGTTTGGACCTCTCGGGTCATGATTTCCATCATCTTCTTGCGAATCTGTCGAACCTGCTGATGCTGGGCATACGAGGTCTTGCGGATTTGATTATTGCGCTTCTTCGTAAAACCCACGCAGAAGAGGCGCAGTAGGTAACCATCCGTAGTTTTCACATCTACGTGGGCTTCAATCATTGTCTGAAAAAAAAAAAAAAAACCAACCACCACAGTTATTTAGCATCGTGATGGACAGGTTTCTCAAAACCATGCACCCGACATGCATTAATATCTGCTGATGCCACCTCAAGCGTAGCTTTAGAATGCATCAGGGGCCACCTCCTTTCCCAAAGGCACCGGGACCACGCAGACCTGGCTCTTTACACACCTGCCATTTTTTGACCATGGAGCACATTTTATCCCGGGTGAGGTCCATTCCATGGAAGTTGGTAAGACAATTTTTGCCCTGAACGTCCTCAGTTATTAGTTTAAATTTACGGAAGGCAACCTCATCATTCTGCAGATCAGCCAGACTCACTTCAAATACACGACCCTTCAGTCCATCAGAGGCAATTTCTGTATTACAAAACAAAATAAACCACCTTTTATTAACATTAGAAAAGTATTATTCAAATCAGATAGCGAATTTCCATTTGATGTTTTCTAATAGATTATTCCACTAGCTTCGAAGTTTACATGTATCTTGAACAAGATCAAATCAAATCCTAGAACCAAACACCATATTTTGTTAACTTTGTGAGGAATCTTTTTAAGATAATTTTATCAGATACTGAACGCAAATACCAGTAAACTACAGAGTCCAGCATGTGTAATAGCTGGGGGTTTTCTTTAAAGTGGAAGGGGCTACAAAGCGTTTGGGAATCATGAACAATAATGGCAAGATAAACATAAAAAGACACATGGGCTCAGCAGAAATAAAGCAGCAACAAACACCCAAGTATAGTTATTTCACAGCTCTAACAATTAACCATTTCAAACTTACACTTGGCTTACAGCGGCCTTCATTTTACTTGTTTGCATGTATGCGGTTTAAAATAATGATCACCTTCATAACCACGTGCAACCAGAGTAGTATCACACAACTATTTAGCCATTTTACACAGCTAACCTTCCAAAAATAGTTACCTCTACCTGGATCACCCTGCACTCCTAACAGAGGCTTCTTTTTCCCAAGGGGTACCAGATGATATGAAAAACCTTTACCATTCAGTGATACATCTACATATGCTCCCATTAAGTTAGCAACCGTTGTGCTCAACAAAGATCTCTACCCAAGAGCTTCAAACTGCAGCCTCTTCTAACACGATGGTCTTTATGATCCTGTTATAACCAAGGCCTCCTGTAACACTGGCTCCACATCTCCCTCTGTGATAATCAGAACGATCCCTTAATTCTCAACTTCCCTCAAACTCGTCAGGTTACCACAACAGCAGCTCATTAGCAACTTCAGGCCCGTCCTTCAGTACCATGCCCCTGGCTTGGTACTCTTGTACAAACAAGGACCACACTGTATTAACTTTCCTGCAGCTCAGCTCATTTAACAACTCCGTCAACTTAAGAAAACTCACTCAAATCAAGCAATCAAGTTAGAGGTGCTTTAAAAAAACAAAACAAAAAAACCCCACCAAACACACAAAAAAAACAACAAAACAACCCACACATTCCAGGTTCATAATATTATGAGCAAAAACTATTTTTCAGCAGTTCTTTAACCAAATCTTACTTGGAGCTAAGACATGGAACAAATACATCTCCCTCTACTTCATAAAACCCCACTACTCACTAGTTCCTTGAGTCCTGGTGACAAGTGTCTTCCCGATGTTTCGAATATTAAACATGGCCGGTGCTTTGACATCATACCAGTCCTTTTTGGAGAAAGGATCAACCCTTAATTTAAATAAAGCAGAACACATTTTTGAATGGGTTTTCTCAGATTAAACCGGGCTGAAATGAGACCTTCCCCCTGCCATATGCTTTGCAAAATGGAAACGCAAACGTCAACATTCTATGCCCCCCCCCTTTTTTTTTTTTTTTTCCCTACTGATGACAAGTTGGGAAGCACGTCAATACAGTTAGCATTACCCACCACAGTGAGGCAGGCATTCATTTCCATTTACTTCAGAAAAACTGAAACCAGCCGCAGAAACAACATAAAGCCCAAATGACAAAAAAAAAAAAAAAAAAAAAAAAAAGAAAAATAATAAAACAAAACAAACCAACTCAGAACAACAAAAAAAAAAACCCAAAACGTGCAGCGCTGCCGTTCCGGCCGCCGCTCGGGAGCGACACGAGCGGTGCGCTGACATCCCCACCCAACCCGGGCTGCCCTTCCTGACCTCCGCAGCCAGCACGCACCAGGCACGCCGCCGCCGCCCGCCCCAGCACCACCCGGGACCCCCCCCGCCCCACGCAGGACGGCAGCCCGGCCCTAGCCGGCCCTCCCGCCGCCGCCGCCATGACAGCCGCGGCCTGCTCCCCGCCGCCGCCGCCATCCGCCCCGCATCCGCGGCATCCCGCCGCCACGGCGCCCTCCCGCCACGGCCCCGGCCCCGGCGCCCCCGCGCCCCGGCCCCGCCGCCCGCCGCCACCCTTACACTTTCTTCTTGGCGCCTTTCTTGCCGCCCTTGGTGAGGCGCTTGTTCTTGCCGACCGCCATGGTCCCGCCCCGCCGACGAAAAGGCCGGAAGCGGCCGCTCGCGCGAGATTATGCGCAGGCTCTCGCGAGAACGGGGCCGCGCCGCGCCGGGAGGGGGCGGGCGGCCCGCCCCCTGGGACGTACCACAGCGGGACGGAACCAAAGGCGCGGGGGGAGCGGGGGCCCGCCCCTCTCCCCTTCCCCCCCGCTCCCCTTCCGCCCCGCCCCGCCGCGCCAACGCCGGCATTTAACGGGGGAATAAAGAAAGAAGACCTCCTAAAGAATTAAAGTGCAAAAAAAAAAAAAAAAAAAAAAATCGTTGTGTTTCCAGGGCGCGGCCCACCGACGGCGCCAGCCGCCCTGTCCCGGCCGGCCTCCCGCCCCCTCGAAAGGCGGGAAAGAAAGCGAGAGCAGAGGCTGGGGGGGGCGGCAATAAAAATGGCGGTGTTGGCCCTGGGGGCGGCAGGGACGGGGCCTGCGCTGGCCGGGAGGGTGTCGGTTGGTGGCGGCTGCCGGACTCTCGCTGAGGGGACAAAACCCGGCAGTGGGTTGGCCCTTCTGTGGCGTTGGTGGCCCCGCAGAGCCCGCCTGTGCGGTTCTGTCCCGTCCCCTCCCCAAAGACCATTTGACTTTGAACTTTTGGGATCTCCCAGTACGCCCTGAGGCCTCTGTGCCTTGTCGTGCTTTCCGGCATGTCACTTTTGGCCTTTCTGTGCTTTCCATGGCGTCCTAGGCCCCTCCTTGTGTCTTTTGGGGCCTCCACAAACCTCTCAGAGCTTCCCGGTGACCTCCGTGTGCCTTTCGGAGTGCTCCAGGACCCTCCCTGCACCTCTCTGTGCACCCAGTGTATCTCGAGCCTTGTGGAGTACACTGTATCGGAGGAGTTAGTGATCTTAAGCAGGCCACGCCGGCTCAACTGGGCCCCATCCTTCTGGCTGGAGAAGCCCCTCTGTTACTAAGGTCATTTGTAACGTGCATTGTCTTTGGGAATGACAATCTGCCTGGCGGTAAAGGGGGGAAACCTGTTGATCCTGACCATTGAGACCGCTGCACTTTCAGCAGATAGCAAGCTACATCACAGTCAACTCAGGCAGGCACAGGTCTGTGACATAAGATTTACTTAAAACATTAAGGTTTACTTGTTACCTATGTTCTTCTTATTCTACCTTACTAAAGCTTTTCTCCTCTTACACCGTTTGTTGTCAGGCCTTTCTGGCTGAGATACACAAAGAGCCCTGCACCGCCTTTCTCTCAGGCTCACCCCACTGCACAACCCCCCGTGGCCCTCAGAGCTCCTTTCTGGGGCACCCCAATCTCCTCCTTCGTCCTTACAGCACACCTCCGGGTCCCCAAGGAGCCAGCGAGGCGCTTGACCCTCGGAGCACACAGAGGTGCTGCTCTGCGGCCCCTTGGGTGAACACACAGGTGCTCGGTGACAGGATGCCTCTGGAGGCCTCAGGCTGAGGATGGTCTGTGCTGCCAGGGCAGAGATCAGGGGTTGGTGGTCATTGTCCAAGGGCTGAAGGGCTAAGATAGAAAGAAAGAAAGAAAGAGAATGAAGGTCAAACCCCTCTGTCTGCAGAGGTCCCAGGCATCCTCTCCAGGATGAGAGGTTTCGGCCAGGTGCCTGAGCTGTTCCCACTGCAGGGGCTGTGCGACTTTGAGGAGGATTTCTTGAGAGGCCCACAAAGCCAAAGAGATGCCACCACAGCCCAGGGCAGGGCACTCTTCACCCCCATCGTGGCCAGTCTCAGACCTTTTCTAGATCTTCTGAGGAAAGTGGTGCCCAAGACCAAGCATACCCCAGGCTGAAAGACATGGTGGGCCTGGAACAGACAGCTCTGTGCTGTCCTTGGGGACAAGTAGGTCAGGTCTGACAGTGACACACAATCAAAGCGTGCGTCTCTCAGCAGCCTGTGTCCCTAGTGCTGAGGCCCACTCGTGGAGTGTCAGCATCCGGTGTCATTGTGCTCCTTGAATCACTGGTGGGGTCAAACTTGATTGCTCACGCGGAAGAAGGGCAGCTGAGGGCTCCTGTCCACTTTCTTCCTCATCCTCCGTTTGCTACTTCCCACCACAGTCTCTGTCATGTCTTTGAAGAGGAGGATGGAGACCACTTGCAGACAGTGGTGACAGCCTCTCCTGGGCACCATGTGCCTCTCCCTCTGGAGAGGACACCATCTCCTTGGGGCTCCATCAGGTTCTCCCTGATGGTCAAGGGAAAGGGGTGGGTTTTTGATGAGCTCAAGCTGGCTCCTGGCTCTTTGTCTCTACCTCAGCAGAGCAGCCAGGAGCACATGAGGTAGCAGTGGGGCAAAACACACCCTGGCACTTCCCAGGGGTACGAACTTGTCTGCAAAGGGACACAGGGGGAAGGGACACATAGCTCCTGAAGCAATGTGGGGCAGCCGTGGACATACCCCATACCCAAGAGGGGCAGGGGTGTCCGTCAGGTGCCCCTGAGGTGGTGCTGACATCTTGGCCCCTCACCAGGGAATTAGGTATCTTGCCCTACCACCCAAGGGGACCCAAATGTCCTTCCAACCGTGGCACGTGTGGCCCAGGCCACAATGCATGTTCTAAGGCAACATGGGCAGGGGGCACCCCAGGGGACGTGCGCAGCCTGCCACATGGTTCGTTAATGACTACCTAATGACCTTGGGGGGGGCCGCAAGGGGGAGTGGGGCCTCCTGGACACCTGGCTCCCCTCACTCATCTGCTGGACCTTGCTCTTTGCTCTGCCCCTCCTCCTGGATCCTTGCCCATTGGGCCCAGCTGGGGCCAGTATAAAAGAGACACAGAAGAGTGGGAGGGATCCCGGAGACCCTGAGGCCATAAGGGAAACTGAGGCGCACACACACCGGTGCGGGTGAGGGATGCGTAGGGGATCAGAGTGTCTATGGGAGGGGACTGTGAGGAACCCAAACAGCTGGTGGGGGAAGGAGGATATGTAGGGGGTTCAGGTGTTGGGACAAGGGCTGGATCTATAGGGGACCCGGGGGTGGGGGGGGTGTTCCATAGGGGACCCGGGCTTCTGGGGAGTGCAGAACTGTAGGGGACCCAGGTGTCCATGGGGTGTTCTGTAGGGGACCCAGGCCTCCGGGTAGGATCCACAGATGGCCTAAGTGTCCGGGGGGGGGGGGGTGGTGGGGGTCCCCCCATGCACGTAGAGGGGATTTGTAAGGGACCCAGGTGTCCGGGAGGCGGAATTTGCAGAGGTGGTGTTTCCAGTCGGGGCCCCAGAAGTCCAGATGGCCCTGACCCCGCTTTCCACAGGTGCCCATGGCGGGCTGGGCGCTATGCATGGCCCTGGTGCTGTCAGCCCTGGCCGGGGCGGTGGGCGAGAGCCGCTATGAGAAGTTCCTGCGGCAGCACGTGGACCACCCGCAGACATCCTCGCTCACGGCGCACCGCTACTGCGAGATCATGCTGGCGCGCCGGCGGGTGACGGCCCCGGGGCGGCCCTGCAAGCCCTCCAACACCTTCGTGCACGCACCGGCCAGCGAGCTGGTGGCTGCCTGCACCCAGACGCCTGACGCGGCGGGGTTCCGCAGCACCCCAACGCCCATGGGCCTCACGGCCTGTCGCCTGCGGGGGGGGGACACACGGCCCCCCTGCACCTACCGAGCCCGGCAGCTCCAGCACCACGTGCGTCTCGCCTGCCTCGACGGGCTGCCTGTGCACCTTGCTGGCACCCATGCACCCCCACCCCGTGAGGCTTGATGGGGGGGGGGGGGGGGGCTGTAGGTGGGGACGTGGATTCTCTCTCCCACTGGGTCGAACTAGACTCCGTTAGGGTCTGCAATAAAGGAGGTGACACAGGCCTGGGCTCCGGCATCAGCTTCTGGGGGGACCCGGCACTTCTACCCCTCTCTGGATACCCCTGAGTCCCCTTGAGTGCCCCCAACCCTGTCCAAGGTGGATCTGGCCACCCATGTGCCTCATAAACCCCTGGGTTTTCCCAACCTCCTGGGTGTCCCATAGCCCCCTAGGGTGCCTCTGACCTCTCCTCTGCCCCATAGACTCCCCTTTCCTGGGTGCTCCACAACTCCCGTGGGTGCCCCATAACCCACTCAGCGTCCCTCTGCTCCCCTGGCTGCGCACCCAACTCTCTCCCCCGGTATCCAGACCCTTGGGGTGTCACATTGCTTTCCCGGATGCCCTACAGCCCCCTGAAGGATCTCCCAAACTCCCGTGTGCCTCATAACCACCTGGGCATCCCCAACTTCCCCCATGCATGCCCTATAAACCCACATGTGCTGTGCCCCACAGTCCCCTCTTCCACACGGATCTGACCTCATCTGGGGTCTCTCTGGGGCTGAGGCTGCTCTTGGGCTCCTGTGACACCCCCATGGAGCTGAGCACTAGCTGGGGCCACACACAGCTCTGAACCACCACCCCACGCACACTGAACACACATACACACACACAGAAACACAACGCACACAAAACATGCGCTGTGCACACAACTGCACACCACACTCGCAACACAAAACATACACACATGGTCCTACACACAACACACACAGAGAGCACAGGCACACACAATACACAACCACACACTACATGCACGCACGTACACAAACAAGTATTTTCTTGGATTTGGATGGGTTTTCACGTGTTTCAGCTTGGGTTCATCACCTCTTGTTCTGTCACTGAGCACTAAGAAGAGAGTGGCTCCCTTGTCTTCATTGCTCCCCATCAGAATTTATTCATATACTGATAAGTGCCCGTCCTTCCTCAGCCTTCTCTTCCCTAAGCTGAACAGTCCCAGCTCTCTCAGCCTTTCCTCTCATCGGAACTGTTCCAGTCCCTTCAGCAGCAGCAGCCCTTTGCTGGACTCTCTCCAGTATGTTAATGTCTCTCTTGTACTGGGGAGTCCATCACTGGATCCAGCGTTCCAGGTGTGTCTCAGCAGTGCTGAGCAGAGGAGCAGGATCACCTCCTTCCATTTACTGTCAGCACTCGGCCTGGTGCAGCCCAGGTGATAAAAAATATCACCACTGTGATTTACCCTACGAGCCTGGCATTAGAGGCTCTGAAGAGCACAGGAAAGGTGGCACCCATCCTGGGGAGACAGCTCGGAGCAGCAGTCCGAGGGCAGCAGTGCCAGTTCTGGGATGCCCTGCAAGTTGGGGCTACTTGGGATGTGCTGGAAAGACTGGGTTGTTCCTGGCATCTCCCCTTTGCCTGCAGGACAGCTCCACCCCACTGGCACATCCCATCCCCTTATTGCGCTGTTGGTTCACACCTATGCCGTGTTTTCACCTAAGAAGCAACTCTGCTTCTTCAGCATATGTTAGTGAAGGCTAAAGGGAAAAAAGTCTCAGCCACAAAAGAATCAGGATTGTCCTGAGGGTGTTAGGACATCCACTTTTTCCAGCAGCCACTGTCAATGCAGATCATACCCAGGTACTTTATCTCTGAGGCAAAGCACCAGTTGACTTGCTGGCTTCATAACAAGGATCAGAGAAGCTATAGCTGCTCCTGCTATCTCCAAAAGGAGATGCCAGGACGAGAGCTGGCTCTTTGTGAGGCTTGCGTATCATGTGAAAGGGGATGGAAGGGGAACAGCCTGCAGCCCTTGATCTTTTTTCACCATCACTGGCTACCGTGCACGGTCCTTGGAGCTGCGTACCTCTTGTCTCAGGAGCTCTGTGGTGAGGCGGAGGGGAACCAGCACAGGGGATGGTCTCCAGTGATGTCAGTCCCCGTTCTGAATGTCCCAAAACCTTAAGAGGTACAAGAGGATCCATCTCCATCTGGCCTTGGTCTCAACACTGAAAAAGGAAAAAGTTGCTCCTAATAGGATCCTGGCTTGAAAGTAAATCACCTTTTTTTGCCACTGCTGGCACAGGGAAGGGCACAGGGCTGGCCCCTCACCTGCTCTATGTTCAGCTGATGTGTCTGAGCTTGAGAGTTCCAAGGCCGTATTGCAGGCACAAAAGTGACTTGCATAAATTTCACTTAATTTAGTTTATTGCCAATTAACATACACTTTTATATTACTGATTTGGGCATTGAGAAGCACAGAAGATAGAAAAAATTACATGAGAGCTTATGCAAACGCCTTTCATCCCCCTTCCCCAGGCACAACTTCAGATCTTTATGAGCAGGATCATGGCAGCGATAAGAGATTTCCGCACTGTCCTTAAACTGCTGGGACGTGGCCCTTTATCCAGGGAGGTAGAGAGGCCTTTGCCACAAGCAGCAGTGGGCCACTTACAGGCAGCAGTCAGAAAGTCTGGAATGGCAACAAGTAGCAAAAAGCCAGCATGGGACTGGTGCCTGAAAAGAGAGGAAGGCTTTTTGCATTTGTCTTAATAAACCACTGCATTTATTTCTTAATTGCTTTCTCATTTAGGTACTTTCACATCCTGCCTCTCACAGCCAAACATGAAGTCCCAAGGTTTGTGGTTGATTCTACCTTATAACACTACAGGAAGACAGAAACTATAATCTCTGTTTTGTGGATGGGAGTTAAACACCATTCCTAAAGTCACATAGAAAGTCTGAGACAGACTTTCTGAAGACAGACTTCAGGCTTCTTGAGCACTACCTAATGGCCTCCCCTCCCATTTATGTGCTTCTGTCTGGAGAAAAGACAAACCGTGTCAATCTGACTTTTTATTTAAAAGAACGTTATTTGCTTTCAAGGTACACCTTTCACTTTGCATTATGTCCTGCAGTAGATCAGTTTAGGCTGCATTACAATAGGCAACCAAAACTGTTCCCGAAACAGCACTATATTTCACCAAGAAAGCAATTATAAACTTTCTGGATACTAGCCCAAAGCTAGTATCTGAGTCATATCTGCTCAAATTTCATGCCCAGAGTTTGCTCTGACATTGGTTGGCCTGCTCTTCTCACCTGCTGTATTATCAAACAATTCTCTAGGCAGGAACCAGGCTGTTGCGTTTAGTACATGGAAATGAAACAAATAATGCTCTCTCACATGCCTCACATGCTTGCTTTAAGATCACACTTCCACCACCTGGCATCTGATGGTATAAAATGAGGGGCATGAGCAGTGTGTTAACATTTCCAATGCTACTGTGGAAATTCATTGCTGCTTCTTGAAAAACAATGACATTTTTGCAGAACCATAGCAGGGAGTTGCTTAAGCAGGCACTGCAAAGGCCTTCAAAAATATTTACTCAGCAGAGTCAATACTGGGCTCCGTGGATTTGGCAGAATGAGTCCTGTGGAAGCAGGCTGTTGCTGTATGCCATGCATGCCCAAATTGACATGGAAGAAACTTCCCTCCAGTGTTATCGCTTGATCTCAAAATATACGCTGCACAAATACAGCAAAACACAGCCAGTTTCTCTGCAGCATTTGTCCTAATCATTTTTTCCATGGGGTTTTGGTCCCCTGCCTTCTTATAGCCAAATAACTCATCCAAACAATATGGTAAGCTTTCCAACGTTACAATAGCTTGAAAAGCTCAGTGAAGAGTAGAAGCATTCATAAAAGTCAGACTCGATATATTTTTAAATCAAAATAACTTTTTTTTTTTTTTTTTTATGAGCACAGTTCTTCCTGTAACTTTGGACACCAATTTTGCTCTTTTTATTGAAAAGCAGACTAATCTAAATATTTTGAAGCATTTATCTGAGGAAGGGGAAAACCTTACTTCTTCTGCCCTTCCAGTGTTATTTTTTTTTCTTTCAGAAGGAGATTCTGCGGTATTCCTCTTTGTATTCACACTGTTCATATGCCTAAAACAGAGTAGATATCAACTGAGTTTTTAAAAAAATCCATGAGTTTTCCATTTGAATTTGTCTATTTTTTCTTAGCTGTATCTCACAAAGAAGAGCCAAGCCCTGTAGACTGATTTTCTTGGGCTTTTTTGTCTGTTTAGCATGAAATAAATACTGCTGATGGTGTTGTGAGAGCTATAGCAACTGGCTTCATGTCACCCTAGAGACTACTTTTCAAATCACCTATCAGGTCTGTTCCAAAAGAGGACCTTTTGCTTTCTCATATGGCGTATTTTCAAATGAATATGCAGTTTAAAGAGTTTAACTGCAATGACTAATTTCTGCCATCACAAGCATCTCTGTGAGTCCATATTTTTTTATTTCTTTATTTACTTGAAGAAAAATTGTTTGGAGAGGATAGAGCTATTCCTTTATCTCTGGTAAATGAAAAGGCCCTGTAGCTGGGTGTGAGTGGTGGGGCTGAGGGGCTCACCCTTCCTCATCACTGAAAAGTGGCAGAACCCATTCCCTCCTTTCTGTAACCAGGGGCTTAAATACTGGGACACCCTCACCACTACCCCATAACAAACAAGTTGGGAAAAAGCCACAGCTTTCTGTGAAGGACTGAGATGAGAGGAAGCGAAGGGAAAGGACCAAGCCTCTGGAAGTGCCTGGGGATTTTGCTCTGAGGTACATCCCAGCATGGCACATGTGGCAGCTCAAAGAAGCTCTTATCTCAGCAGCTTGCTCTCGCTGTCTTTGAAGTATGTGGTAATGGCCCAGGCGTTTGGCAGAGCAAATAACCAACCCCAACTTTTTCCACCTACACACAAACCTTGGGACAGAGGTGCTTGAAGGAGTCAGCACTGACGAATGCAAAAAACTTGCTCCTCTTCCTGCAGATACCTCTGTTTCCTCGGCTCTGCTCTGTTTTTTTGAGGTCCTTCCATGTATAAAGAGGAGCCAGAGCAGCCCTTGGCTCAGTCCTTTCTCCAGGCATCAGAGGCAGTTGAAGAAGCAAGGTGCTCGATGTGCTGGGCAGACCTGCTTGTCCTTCTCCCCGCAGCCCCGTACCGACTGGTGGCTTTCCCCTTCGCTGCTCTCTTCCACCACCTCTGTGCTTCGGGGCACCTCTCGCTGACTGCCCGGTACGTGGCCATCACCCCTGCTGCTGTGCTGAGGGCAAGTCACGCCTGTGGATGCTTTCTGGGGGCTCTCCTGGCCAGAGGTGCAGTGGGACGCATGGTAGTAAGTCCACGCTGACTCGGGTAGGGACGTTTGTATGGCTTGGATGTGAGCTGCCCCCAGTCCCCTTCTCCGCAGTGGGGCCAGATCAAGGTCATTAAGGACAAAACAGCCAGGCCAGACACTGGTGGTGTGGGAGTTGGGTTTAGGGGTGTACCGGGATGAGGACACGGGCAAGGGGAGCAGGGCAGGGAAATGGGGACTGCCACTGGTGTGACTAGGATGGTGGCCAGACAGGTCCAGCATTATCTGCCCCAGTCCCTCCCCACCAGTTCCTGCGTGCAGCCACAATGGCCCTGGTGATCCCTCAGCACCACGAGAGTCCAGGAGACAGACTACAGGGGGACTGTGGAGGCTGCAGGACCCAGACTATGCCCCACTGTCAACGCACTGGCAGGAGTTTCAAGCCCCATTTTCCCCAAAAGGCAGCCAAAGGGTATCTGGTCTCTTTTAGGCATGTATTCCTCCTTGCTGGAGGATGTCTCCTTGCTGGCACAGCCATGGGCAGCTATGCTGTGTTGCTCCTCATCCCTGCTGCCGGCTCCGTGCTTGTCCTCCTCTCCGTCAGCCCAGCTCGTGCCCACATCTGGGTCTTCGCCTTCCAGATGTCCTGGCAGACCCTCTGCCACCTGGGTCTGAGCAGCCAGGAGCTGGACCCACAGGATGCCAGGTAACACACCCCATCCCCACCCCGGCTCTGCCTCCTTCCCGTTTTCCCTTCAGTGGGCTGGGGGCCCTCCTGATCATTTTGTGAGGGTGGAGGTGTCGTGTGTCCCCCCCCCACACCTCCCCGGGGCTGCACTGGCTCGCTGTTCCACAGCCATCAGTCTCCCCTCTGGCTCTGACCGCATCCCCGCGCGTGGGCAGCTCTGTGGGCATGGCAGCGTTCTGGGAACGTGGGACAGCACATCCCCGCCTGCGCAGCCTGGCGCCCGTGCCTCTAATCCTCCCTCCGAGGGACTTCCAGCAGCTCTCAGGTGCCCCCTCCTTCCAGGCCAGCCACCGCCCTCTCTGCCATCATGCTGCTCACCCAGAAGGCTACATCCCTGGCCCTGGATATCCACGAAGGGCTTGCGCCGCTCCAGCCCAACCGTGGGCTTTTGCAGCGCGCGCTGCCCCTCTGCAGCTACCTGCTCTTTTTCCCAGCCCTCCTCGGAGGTCCCCTGTGCTCCTTCGGCAGGTTTCGGGCCCGGGCCGAGTCCTGCGGCGCCGTCCCCGGCTGGCTGAGGGCCGCGGGCCGGCGGTGCCTCTGCGCCGCGGCCGTGCAGGGGCTGCGCGTGGGGCTGGCGGGAGGGCTGGCGGGCCGGCCGGGCTGCGCCGGCCTGGGCTGCCTGCCCGGCGTCTGGGCGCAGGCTCTGCTCCTCCGCCTGGCCTACTACTTGCACTGGGCGCTGGATGAGGCCCTCCTCGACGTGGCAGGCTTCGGGCCAGAGGCGGGACAGGGAGACCTTTCCATCCGCGACCTGTGGACGCTGGAGACCACTCACCGCCTGGCCGTCTTCACCCGAACCTGGAACAAGAGCACGTCCCGCTGGCTGAGGAGGCTCGTCTTCCAGCGCTGCCCGGTCCAACCGCTCCTAGCCACCTTTGCTTTCTCTGCCTGGTGGCATGGCCTCCGACCTGGGCAGCTCTTTGGTTTCCTGTGCTGGGCTGTCATGGTGGAGGCTGACTACCGCATCCATCCCTTCCTCAGCGCCCGGGCCACCTCCCAGGGTGCGAAGCTGCTCTACCGTGGCACAACCTGGGTCTTCACGCAGCTTATCGTCGCCTACATCCTGGTGGCTGTGGAGACCGAGAGCTTCCCCAAGCTCTGCATGCTCTGGACTTCCTGCAACAGCATCCTTCCCCTCTCCTACAGTCTCGCGCTGCTGCTGCTGCTTGCCAAGAACCACAGAATCATAGAACGGTTTGGGTTGGAAGGGACCTTAAAGACCATCTAGTTCCACCCCCCCTGCCCCGGGCAGGGCCCCCTTCCCCCAGCCCAGGGGGCTCCCAGCCCCGTCCAACCTGGCCTTGAACCCTTCCAGGGAGGGGGCAGCCACAGCTTCCATGGGCAGCCTGTTCCAGCACCTCACCACCCTCACAGTAAAGAATTTCTTCCTTATACCTAATCTAAATCTACCCTCTTTCAGTTTAAAACTATTACCCCTCGTTCTATCCCTACACTCCCTGATAAAGAGTCTTTCCTGTAGGCCCCGCACTGGAAGGGGCCTCTCCAAGGTCTCCCCAGAGCCTTTTCTTCTCCAGGCTGAACAACCCCAACTCTTTCAGCCTGTCCTTATAGGAGAGGGGCTTCAGCCCCTTGATCATCTTTGTGGCCTCCTCTGGGACCTCATGTGACCCACTCGAGTAGGTCCATGTCTTTCTTAAGTTGGGACCCCAGAGCTGGACCCAGCACTGCAGGGGGGTCTCCTGAGAGCAGAGCAGAGGGGGAGAACCCCCTCCCTGGCCCTGCTGCCCACGCTGCTCTTGATGCAGCCCAGGACACGGGTGGTTTCTGGGCTGCGAGCGCACACTGCTGGCTCACAGTCAGTTTTCCATCCACCGACACCCCCAGGTGCTTCTCCGCAGGGCTGCTCTCCATCCACTCATCTCCCAGCCTGGATTTGTGCTTGGGATTGTCCTGACCCATGTGGAGGACCTTGCACTTGGCCTTGTTGAACCTCATGAGGTTTGCACAGGCCCACCTCTCAAGCTGAAGCAGAACTGAGCCTGTCCTGGGCTAACCTGTATGGCCGGTGGGGCACGTCCCTGCACATGTGATCATGCATGGTGAGAAGTGCTATTGGCCAAGCAAACTCATCTAACAGCATCTCTGGAGAACCAGGCTGGCTTTTACTCCTGGGATATCCACCTTCTTTGAGGGATGCTCTGAAGCAGGGAGGCAAGGTCACCAGACCACTGGGCAAGAGGGCTTCTCGCAGCACTGCCTGCCCAGTGTTTGTCTTGCGGATTTGGGTCTCAGCCTTATCTCACACAGGAAGCACACAAGCTCCCCACCAAAGTCATCTGTGCTACAAATGCACCAGTTGGCAACTATGTCCAGCTCCTGGTAATCTGTCCTCCATAGCGATAGCAGGCACTGGCAGAGAGCTGCCTTGCCACATTTCTTGTGCGGGCAGACCACTGGGAGCCTGGGCACAGGGAAAGGGTCTGGCAGTCTGTCTGGGGGCAGCACAAGAAACACCCCTTTCCCCACCCAGCAGTACTACCAAGATGCATTACTACCAAGAGTCTGTGGTGCTCCTCCAGCAATTGCTCCTCAGCATTGCCCTGCGGCATGTGGACCCCAAACTGTGTTCCCAAATAGATGCCTCCTGCAATACCCACTCCTCACCAAGTGGGTGACATGCTTGACCCCCAGGGTGTGGCATCAGCTGTGTCCCCTGCCACACAGGGAAGAGGGATGATCCATCCCCTCCACCATTCTTGCAGAGGATCCTGGGCATTGGAGCAAGCATACGTGCTAGGAAGAGGGGGGCTACTACCCATTGCTGTGCTGAGGACAGCACAGGAAAGGGGAGGAAAGCCAGCAAAGTCCTTGGACTCAGCTATGGCATTCAACCGAGGCTTAGGTGTTGCTTTCCCCACAGCAGAAACCCTAATGCACTTCTCCAGTTCATGCATTGGCCTAGGACTGTTTAGGCTGGCGAAGAAGCATGAGCTACCCTAGGGGAAGGTATCAGGAAAGCACGGAGCTGAGTTTCTTTTTGTATGAGAGCAATAAGCCACCCACCAAATCTCAAAATAATACAGCTGAAAATGCTATAATACTATTGTTGGCCTTTGGTCTGCTGGGTGTGCTGCTGCAAGGTACCAGGACCAACACCAGAACCAGTCTCAAGTGCCCAGACTCAAGGGAAAGCATTCTGATCAGGTTAACATCCCATGCTGTGCAGGCCCTGTGCCAATACCTGTATCAGTGTTTGTCACTGAACTGAAACTCAGCATGCAAAATGGATCCAGCCTTGTTTTACGGGGGTTGGTTGGATGTTTGGCTGCTTCTCGAGTCCTTCTGATTACCCAGCCCAAGCCTTGCAAGCCAGTTGCCCCACATATAATCTCCCTGTTGCCAGCACAGCTTGGATTTGTCATGGCCAGGCCCTATCTCCTTCAATGCTGTCCTGCAGAGCTGCCTCCAACTTACTCCCTATATCCATGCTTAGAAACTGAGTCATCTCTTCATCTTATCTCTGAAAAACATGCTGGGCTCCCTCAGGCAGGTTCTCCAGCTGTTTCATCACTCTGCTGGCCCACATGAGACCACATGCAGCAAGCCAGGGCCAGACTTTCCAGGGAAATGTGTACAGGATGGTCCGTGGGACCGTGGTTCCCAAGCCAGAAGGTTCCCGCCACCTATGTTGGAGGGAAGTGGACTCAAGAGTCAGACACAAGAAAGCCAGTGTATAAAAAAAAAATCCCCAACGGCCACAGTTGAAGCCATCCCACATTCTTTCAGCAGGCAGGGACCTGCACGGCCTCTTCCCTAAGGGGATGAGGGGAAATTCATTGCAAATGGGTGCCCAGCCAAGGAACCGTCCCCTCCCATCAGCAGCAACCATAGCCAAACAGATTAAAAAAAAAAAAAAAATGCAGGTGAGAAGCCTGGAAGAGATTCACACAAAGTATATGAAATGTCACAAAACCTGGGGAATTAATATTCCCCCAAGAAAGCAGGCTGGATCTGGAGGTGAAGCAAGCCTGGAGGAAAGTGGTCATGAATTTCTCCCTGTTTTGAGCTGGGAGGGGTGTAGCTCAACTAGTCTGTCTCCGCCAACCTGACACTAGGCCCTCTCCGTGTGTCCCAAACCTCCCCCTTCTCCAAGGGCTGCAGAACCGGCGCCAGAAGCACAGCTGCTCACCTCTGCCTCACGTTGGGGTGGAAGAGCAAAAGCAGCACGCAACCTTTTGGAAAACCGGTTTTTCTGAGCAAGGTTTTTCTCTTCCGAGCTGAGTGGCTGATATGCATCTGGATGGAGGGAAAGGGGCTGGAGGGAGCCAAGCCAGCTTCTCCCTCCTCCATCGTGCTTTTATTGCATCATGCATTTGTTGTCTGTTGGAGGAGCTTGTTCACAGTGCACGCAGCGCTATGCATTTCTAATTCAAACACCAGCAGCAATAAGACCCTCCCAGACTACAGGCCAGTGGCCCTGGCCTTTCACTTGATGGCTTATCTCTCAATAAAAGGGTTAAATAAATGTTAGACATGAGGGACAGGTGAAATACCAGGTGAAGGGAGGGAGCTGGAGGGATGGGGAAAGCAAAGCAACCTGGCCCTGACTTCCCCCCCAAGGCCATGGAGGTGAATTGGGGATTTTCCATTTCATTAACTTTACAAGGGGTAATTCCCAGCACGAAGCATCATCCTCATGAACAGACCCATCCTGGGCTCTCTCTCACCCTTTTACAATCAACAGCCTGGGTGGCTGCACCACTAGACAGGAAAGTCATGCTGTATTAGTATCTAACAAAGGTAACAGGCAGCTGATACTGAATTGCCCACAGTGGAAAATACATCTGATATGCAGAAACAAGCCATAATTGTTGTTTTTAAACTAAGAAGTAAAATGGATGCCAAGACCCACAAAGTATGTGAATTTAAAAGCCGCTCCTGGTTCTCCCTTGCAAAGGAGCATTACGTGAATTGCTGTTGCTCCCCAGGAGAAGCAGGCAACCCTTCAACCCTCTGGAGAGCGGTGGTGTTCCCAGGCAAAAAGGCTGTGATGCTTTAGGGGGCTGGGGATCAAAAGACTGTCCCACAAATGCAAAAATCAACTCAAGCACACTAAGTTCATTAGAAACATGCACACACGCAGGCAGGAGTTTATTAGTCCACAGACTTACCATACCAAAAAAAAAAAAAAAAAAAAAAAATCCCCCCAAAATAGGGGTAGGTTCCCAGTTTTGCCTGCTTGCAAACTAACAGTGCTGAGGGTACTAAACATGCCTTGTGCACTCTGGGCAGAGTGCAGGGCAGGAGCTGAATGTGCAGTCGCAGCTGAGATTCAAGCCTCCCACGTACAAAGGGGCCGTGTACCTTTAGCCGCAAGGCAACCGGGAGCCCTCAGCTGCCTCCGAGACACATCCGTGGGTCAGAGCAGCTGCAGCAGTTTTAATGTGTGGGAGAGGGAGGCCGGCTCAGCAGACGCTAAGTACTGGCAGCACAGCCAGTCCTCCAGTTCAATGCTTCGCTCCGTGTCCACAGCCCGCTCCGCGAACTTCATCATGAGCAGGGCACGCTTCATGTCCACCCAGTTCTGAAGCACCCGGCGGAGGGCTTCCTCGTGGCTGAGGGGCTGCTCGGTGAGGTCTTTCCGGGGCCCCCAGAGCAGACACTGCAGCATCCTCTTGGCCTCGGTGATCCGCACACGCTTGATGGGATCCGCCTCCAGCAGCAAGTGGGCCAGCTGCTGGAGCCCCCGGGAGTAGATGGAGAGGCTGGGCAGAGCAGGGAGGTCCTCAGGGCTGTACTCCTGCTCCCTGAGGTGCACCTTCTCCTCAAAGGGGTTGGGCTGGTGCAGCAGCTCGTAGATGAGAATACCAGTCTGAAACTCGTCAAACTTCTTGTACTGAGAAGCTGACACAATCTCCGGGGCCAGCCGGGCCTGACTCTTCTTCAGTTTGGAGTCTCCAGTTCCTGGCTTCTGTTTGGCTTTCAAAAAATTGCTGATGATGAGGCGGGGTAAGTGTTTGTCATCTTTGGCTTTCACACAGCTCATGGGGGGCTTGCAGGGGACAAGCAGGAGATTCTCGAGGCACAGGTCACGATGGATGATGCCGTGCTCTTTGAGATGCTCCAGGCCATTGCAGAGCTGGAGGAGCAAGAAGCAAACATGACGTTCATAGAGCTCAGGCTTGGCTTGGTGCAACACCACCGAGTCCCTCACGAAGTCGGCAGTGGTCTGGCTCGGCACCTCCCGGGTAATGACCACCACACAGTCGTGCTCGCTGGCAGTGCGGGAGGGATGGATGCCACCCCCGGGCATGCTTTTCCCCACATCTGAGGCCAGCAGCATGCTGGAGGGGACAGAGGCCACAAAATGCCCACAGTCCTGCTGGATGTTGAAGTGGACTGGCACTGCAGGGCTGCAGTACGAAGCAGCCGCCTTGGACTCCTGGGTTTTACAAATCTGTGCGGAGAGACCAAAAGAAAAGTCTCATCAGTCAGTAACAGACAGGGAAGTTCAGAGATGGGTTCCTAAACGGAGAGTTGCAGATGCTAAGGAGGACATCAGTAGAAGCCAGGTGCACGCTAGTCCCTTCAGTACTTTAAACTATCTCCTGGCTTGAGAATCTTTCTTGTCCTGCAACACCCCAACCTTAGCAACCTGACGTCTGGGTCGCATTCCCAGGTGTGCTTCCTCTGCCAGGCAAGGCCCAGTGTTTACGGGAAAGAACAACAGTAGTCCTCGCATGAGTAACTTCTGGAGATCTTCTCTGGTTGCTGACAGAAGCAACATAGCTTTTACATCACGGATGTCATCAGGAACCTCCCCCCACCCCGCAACCCAGGAGACATTCTGCAGAGGGAAAAGCAAAGCCTGTGGCAGAGGATGTGCTGCATCCACCTCTGGAGCTGGTTAACCCTTGCCTGGATGAGGCCCCACGCAACGCGACCTGGCTGCGAAGGTGGCCTTGTTTGGAGTGAGGGGTGGACAGAGACCTCCAGCACTTTCCTCCCACCTAACCCTTCTCTGGTCCTAAGCCCTGGAGCCACTTTCACATCCTCCTCCACCACTCCCTTTCCTTGTGTCAGCAACTACTCTGAAATCCCTGATCAACAGCTAAGCAACAAGCTTAGAAGCAGCAAGAAACTAACAACAAACTGTATACGGCACAGGGGAAAAAAAACACCAGACAGAAAGTGGGAGCTAACAACAGGTTTAGAAATAAGTGAGAGTGCCACAAACTCAAGGGAAAAAAGCATTTATCTGGATTCTCTTAAACCCACATGACTTTTATCTTAATTTCGTTCTGTATTTTAGCTTTATGACTGCATTAAAGACTAAACTCAAACCCAAGTTTATTAAAAGAGTATCCATTAGCTCATGGGTGCTTCTGGCATTTCCATTATACACTTTTTCCTTTTTTTAAATTTTATTTAGCGATTTATTTATAGCTCACCCACAGGAATCGGCAACAGGCTGAAACTCAGCATAAAAGGTTTCAAACCCTGGAGCATGCCACTGCCAGTCACAGCATGCGTGCAAAATTGGACAAGAAATCAATTTTGCCTCCGAGTGAAAATAAATGCAAGAACAGAGAGGAGCTGGAAAAGTGAGCTGCTTTTGTATTACTCTAGCAAAGGTTTGAATCTAGGCATTTGCAGGTAATTCATTCAGGTGAGACAATACTGTGGAGATGAAGCATTTCAAATCCCTATTGTCCTCTCTTTTCTAAACAAAAAACCCTGCCATGGCTGTGTGCTTATTTTGTGGAAAGACAAGCTTTGGAGAGCTAGGCAGACTGCAGATTAATGCAGTGGGATGCAGGCAGAGGAGAGGAGGCCTTCCAGCCCTCTGCTGAACAAGCCTGCTTGTTCCTCCCCACACAGGGAAGACGTGTAAGGCTTACGAAAAGGGGAGGAACTCCAGCAAGAGAGGAGTCTCTGGGAGAATAACTGCAACCAAAGCTAGACTGGGAGATCTTCCCCAGCCAGCCATTCTTCATATGGCTTTGGCTACACCAGAGGCATCCTCCATGCAGCAAGCTCCAAGTAGGAGCCTGGGGCTGGCTTAGTCACGCATCTTTAAGCGAAGAAAGAAGCCAAGGCATGGAGCATATCTTGGCTTAATTCCTCTAAAGCCATTTCATGTAACCCTGACTCCTTCTAACCGTTTTACACGTAACCGTGTCTGCCTGCGTACAGCCAAAACTGGCTCCTGCTCCTCAGCAGGCTCCTTGGCTCAAGTCAGATCCTTTGCCCATTTTGAGCTCTCCAAGTCTAATTTTAACTGCAGGTCTGCAATATTTTTCATGTCAGAAAATCTGTATCTGAAGTCAGGAGGGGCAGCTAGGAATCAGCCAGTTGTAATGTTTCACAGTTATTTTCTACTTCGGCTACTGAAAGGTAGGTGGCACACAGGAGCATTGCAGGAGGTGTATGCATGCACATGTGTAAATACATACAGAATTTTACGCTGGCACAGAGTACGGCAGTGTTGGGAGTGGTTTTGGCTTTGTTAAGGTGCTCTGCAGCGTACCAAGGGCACAGTGCAAGCCCACATCACATGGAGGGGGCACAAGTGCAGTCTCGTTAAGGGATTGAAATGTGCTGTTTCTGCCTTGGCAAGAATTCATGCACTACAGCCATAGAGCTGAGCCTCTGAACCCCACCTAACACAGCAGGCAAGAGCAAAGGTGCGTGCATGCCACAGGGAACCACAGAGGAGCACATACATCAGTTCACCACGCAGTTCTCAGGTTTCAGGAGGAAAGTTGCGATGGATTTAGGCATAACACAGAAAGGAAGCTACAGCTCCGAGTGCTGGACTAGGGGTATTGGTGCAGTATCTCATCTAACTCCATTCTGGTTATTTACAGCCCCCTTGCTGGGTTGACTGTACTTCCTTCAGAATATGAACTGGCTTTAAAGCTATCACTTAACAAAAACATCCCCTTGGGGTTCATAATGGTGGAAATGATCCAGCAGAGGGTTTTTTGGTTTGGTTTTTTTTTGGTTTTTGTTTTTTTTTTTTTTTTTTTTTTTGGGGGGGGTGTGTGTGTGTTTCTTTGTTTGTTTGTTTGTTTTCCTTGCTTAATGCATCTCTGACAGTGCTTTTTTGGGAATTACTTTAGGTTCTGAAACAACCTGAAGAGTAAGTAACAATGAGATGCCCCTAGGGTTAAGTCAGAATAGAATTAAAAGGCTCTGTATTCAAGTAGTAACACAGGTCAAGAACCGAAAATCCATGGGATGTCCATGGAACAGGTTGGATAAGCTTACTTATCCAGGTTTCAAAGAGCTGAACTGTTGCACCTCATGTTTCCATTTCAAACATGGATTCTGCAAAGTTACAGGAAAATATTTCAGACCTGACCTTACACAGCATGTCTGGGTCAGCCCCACGTTGTTTAAGCAAGATCTGCAATATCTTAATGCCTGTAGTTTCAAGATCATATAAGCACTCGCATGGTTTCTGGGTCAGACCTTCCACTTAAAAGGCAGGCAGAAGCAAAAATGCTGTCTTTTGGATAGCCTTTCATCAGCTTGTGTCATCAGAGGTGAATGCCTCCAAGTTTGCACCGGTATTTGCAGAAAGATTTTTTGAGAAACTGGTTGGGTTTCAGACCCTACTAGTCTGCAGCAATAAGCATCTGACTGGTATTTGTTACACCAAAAACGACTTCTCTAAATTAACCCTCGCAAGCGGTAGGGGAAAAGCAGCAATTTTGGAAGGGGTTTTGCTTGCCAAACTTCACCTGTGAGAAAGGCAAGCAGAGAAAACAGGCCACTGCGTGCTGACGGTGCTTATCAAAGGCGTGCTGCTGACTCTGCTTCCCCCTCTTTCATTCAAATCCATACGCTAGAAAGGGGGCAAAAGAAGCTTGAAGTTTCACTCCCAGCTCAGCTAGGGACCCCCGTGCAGCCTTCGACTGCAGCTCTTTGCCTCATTCTCCCAACTGGGAGATGGAGATGAGCCCCGATACCTCCCAGGTGTGGGCTTACCTTCACAGCGTAGGTGGTAGAAGGGTCCTTGGAGCAAGTGGCACAGTAATATATTGCATCCCCTGAATCACAACAGGGCTTGTTGCATGCCAGCTTGAAGAGAGACCAGTTGTTCTCGCTGAAGTGCAGCTCATTCTTCTGCTCCCGCATGAAGCAGTCCTCACATTTGGCGACCAGGCGGCGCAAGGACTCAGCATAGAGGGCCCCCAGCTTGGCGTACACCCCCTCTTTGCTGTCGATGTTGCTCAGGAGGTTGTGGAGCTGGAGACTGGAGCCCGATGACACCTGGCTGGACACACTGAGCTGCGAGGAGGAGAGGGACTGGAGGTTTCTGCTGGGGATGCAAGCCCCTGTGCTCTTACCAGTGGCTGAGCCCCAGTAGCTGTTTCCTTTGGAGCCTTTCTCCAGGGACTCGGAGGAGGAGAAGGCACCCGGGCGGCCCCCCAGGCTGGCCGGGTGGATGAAGGGAGGCTCCTCTCGGAGGCAGACATTGCTCTCGGAGTGGCTGACGTTCAGCCTGGGGCTGGCAGCACCGGCTGCTCTGCCTGAAGACGCCGGTCCCCCAAAAAAGCCATCTGGGGAGGACACCGTTCTGCTCACTGTTTTCTTCTGGGGCAGAGGGGGTGGGCAGCTGGGGGCAGAGGAGGGGCCATCCTCACCAGAGGCAGGAAGGAAAGGGACAGGGGGAAATACTTGGCTCTCAGCTGGAGGGGGCGAGTGGTTCGGCTCGGAGGAGCGCCCTAGGAGACAGTGACACACAAGAAGATGTCATGAGTGGCCCTTGCGGGCTGGGAGCATGGGTCCCTCTCCATGTCCCTGCCACCCCCACAGGCTGCCTCTCCCAGGGCCCTGGCTGGGAACAAAGCAGCAAGCCAGGTTACATCTGAGCCCAGCGCAGTCCTCAATCTATTCACGACTGCAAAACTTCACCAAAGGGGTTAGGGATTTAATCCAGTCTAACACAGCAGGTTTTCAAAGCAGGCTGCAACCAGCCGTCTAGAGAAATGTCCCCCCCCCACCAAAACCACTCCCCAGTGAATTGCTTACACAGTAGTAAAAAGCTAGTAGAGGGTAAATATTTAAGCTGTGATGTCATCCACAGGGAGGTAAGAACGAAGCACTCGGGATATGCGGACAATCTCTTAAACACGGCCTGTTTCACATGGGAGCTGCCACCCAGTGCTTCAGCAGCACGGCCCGATAAGCAGAGAGTGACTCACTACACAGCTCCAGCCCTCCGGCTGTACATCAGCAGCCCAAGAAGTACACTGAACCTCTCTCTGCCTCACACTGGGTATGGGTCACTGGGCAAGGCCTGAGATTTTGGCAACTTCCATCCTCCTGACAAAATCTGGCCTCCCCCCAACATTGCCTGTCCCCCAGCTTATTGCCAGACCTCTTTGCTCGGAGGGGCAGCCTGGCCCCATTACATACCCTAAACCCCAAGCAACTCCACATGCCATCGGCACATGGATTGGATTGGGATGACTGGCTCATTTCAGGCAGCACGAGCAGCTGTTTTCCTACCCTGGCCAGCCTGGAGACAGGTAATACAATTGTATGTCAGGGAAGAAGGCCAAGGCGGGGTGGGGGGGAAATGGAAAAAAAAAGACGACTTGACATTGAAATAAAGACCAGTAATTTCAGGTCATGGAGACAGAATGAATGAGGAGAGGAGGGATCTGCAGGGAAAAAGAAAAGATGTAATGATTTCAGAGAATTTTCAATGCCACCTGAATGACAGGTGGGACTCTTGATAAACTTGAGCTCTGCTAACACCTTGCATGCAAGTGTAGACCTCGAAAGGTGCATGGTGGAGTTTTGCTCTAATCAAACTCAGCAGATAGCAGGATTTGTTGCTTTCTCTGAGCTCCACTTCCAAGGCTGCGGAGTGGTAGCAAGCCATCCTTCCTCCTCACAAGGGTGCTGGTGAGGGTTCAGCTGCCAGCAGGCGCTTCCCCCCAGCGGCTCCTCCAAAGGGACACCCCGGGGCGGTTGCATGTCACCCCGCAGCAGACACTTGTCTCCCTCACGGCCCTGGTGACTCACCAGCTCTCATGCACAACCTCCAAGGGTAGGGGCTCGGATCCCTGAGCTCCCAGCCTGTGCTGGCATGTCACATGCAGGCTCAAAGCCGTACCGGCTCTGCCAGAACGGCAATCCCTGTTAGCTGCTCGCCACCCGAGACCCCGCGAGGTGAGGGCAGGTCCCCTAGTTCCCAGCTACTAGAGGGGATGCCAGCACGATCTGTCCCTGTCCCTCCCCACCAGAGTGTCTGGTAGCATGACATCAATTTGCATTTGTCCCCTCCACTGCCAAGGCTGCCTGTATGCTCCTGCTGCAATACACCCCCATCCCAAGCAACAGCGCTGAGAGACACTCCAGGAACGAGCAGCTCTGATTTTGACTTCTGCAGAAGATCAGCTTCCCATGCAAGGCAGTTTTGGCACCCCATTTCTGACGACTCAGACATGCTCAGAAACAGCTCTGTGGGAAATGCGAAGCACCACACGTCTCTCTTGCCCCAGTTCCCGGGTACCAGGCTGCCTGACTCCCGTTGGGCCCTTGCCCCAGGGGTCTGCCTGCATTGCACACCCAGTCGCTAAGCAATTGACTGGTTTCCAGTTTCAGCTGCTCTGCAGCTGCACAGTGAACTATGGAGCCTGTGGCTCAACAGAGGTGCATGCCTCAAGCTTTAATGGAAGCCCAGACATCTGCATCATGCCCTGCTGGGTCCATGGGAAAGATCCCCTCTGTTAAAACACTGTCAGAAGCCACAGACAGGGACCATTCTGCATGGCATCTCTTGCTACTTTCAGTCCAAGGGGCTTTGACAGAGGATACAGCCAGGAGAAATTTTTCAGCATGCAGCCCAAGAGCAGCTCAGAGGCATCTCTGCCAGGACACGCAGCTGAATCCCCATTTCAAGAGGCAAGATTTACTTGACAGTCATATGGAACAAACGTCAGCACTGGAAGCTTTGGCAACAGGTCCACACGCCTAGCCCACAAATGCCAAACTGCTCTTACCTTCTTTTTTATGTGCTGCTGGGCTCTGCACCAAGCCCAGGGTAACAAATGAAACCATTTCACAACTTTTCTAACAGCCCTCTGCACCTTCAGTGTATAGTCCTTCTGCATGTCAAAGGTTTAAAAGCTCGCCCACACTTCATATTTTAACATCTGACAGCACCGCCAGTTAATCGGAGCTCACCTCACTCAGTGATGGACTGCATAGCTCCTTGCTTGCGTCAGCAAGAAAAACTGCATTTGGGTTATTTGTTTAAAAACTCATCTTTCCCAAGATGAGTTGAAACAGTTGCTTCTGTTAGTGGAGGCAGAGAAATTCTCTTGTCCCATATAATTTTTGACAGCAAATTGCTTCTGTGTCCAGCAAGTAAAGATCCAACATACGTGTTTCTTCCCCCTGTACAATTTCCTGGCATGGTCTCACTCTCAGACTCCAAGTTAGAGGTGGAAAAATGGAGTTTCCAGAGCTCTGGCGCTTAATTTTATTGCTGCACATTGTTGCTCTTGGAAAAACAACTTCCACTACACGAAGGTTGCTTTTACGAAGGAAATACTTTCTGAGCTGCTGAACACGTTAGTGCATGTCTAAGTTACGCACTGATGAAAAAAGTGACTTCATAGTAAGTATTTTTTAATCTCAGTTAAACGAGTGCAGGCAGATTTTTTCCCCTTCAAGAAATAACTGGGAACACAACGAGAGGGAGAGATTACCCCTAGTACAAGACTCCTCCTGGTACCCCTCAAATCTATGGACTATTTTCTGTGGAAGGGCTACTTGTGACCTCGTGCAACATATGAAGCCCAAGAAGGATAAGGACCATTGCTTTCAGATGGAGGTTTTATCCAGACAAGAGGAGAGCCACGGGATGAATTATTTTGGCACTTGCCGAGTGAAAGAGGAGAAAGCCCATGATATTTGCCTTACTCTGCCACACTCATCTTAAGTGCACCCAGAGGCAGAAGTGCAGAAATGGAAAGATGAAGCGTTTCTGAGTGAACTAGGTGATCAGTCCATCGTGACCCCTGCTCTGAAGATGCTGACCCCACCAGTGGGCCTCAGAATGGAGGTACCTTCTTCCTCAGGTCCAAAACTACCTCTTCCACACCCAGTGGTCACTTACCACCATCACTGCCGGTCTGTGTGTCCGAGTCGAGGCTGTCGGTGGAGCCAGCCGTGAAGCTGACGTGGACGCTCCTGAAAGGTGGGCTGAGGCTCTCGGCAGAGCTGTTGCTGACCCTCTCCAACTCAGCGCTGTTTGGGTTCATTTTCAGAGCGTGCCTAGAAAGAGTGAAAGAGAAGAGTCAGGAGACAGATGGCAAAAGGTACCTCGTGTGCACTTGTTCACGGAGACTCAAGCTGAGAGCAGCTTGGTCCCTGCCCATCCATACAGACACTGTCCAGCCTTTTACCACACCACAGCTCCTCATTCCTGCGCACTTTTCTTCTTTCTCCGGCACCTGGGGAATCACATCCCACTGACACGGAGCAGGTCACAGCCCCCATGCCAGCCCACCATGACAAACCAGCTGTGCTTGAGCAGAGAGAACCACTGAGCCAACAGCATCCAGCCCCAGTCTGTGCCATCTTTGCCTAGCACAACTGGGGTCCCGGACCACGTCCCATCTTGGTCACCATCCCTGGGAAGTGGGGACCCACCAGTGCTTGCCTTCGGTAAAGCTCCCAAGGGAAGGGAGTGACATCGCTCCTCCCATTTTATAGAAGAGCAGGTTGAGGCTGGGTGTCAGAACCCAATTCCTTCATGACAGAGGCATAAGTGGAAGAAGAGTCCATCCCTAGCAGCAGTTGTCTCCTCAGTGCAGCACAGTAACAACTGACACCTTGAGAAAGAAGCAGCGCCTTTGCAGAAAACAAGTGTCTGCCAAACTCAGGACCTACCATGCAGCTTTTAATATAAGACCTACAGTTTTCCATGCAGCTTCCATCTAAAAAAAAAAAATAAATAAACAAACGATAACCTGGGCTTATAACCTGCCAGGTCACAGGACTTTTTGCCAAGATAAAGAATTTCCCCTGCATTTTCTTCATTTTTTTTCCTCCTTAGAAGACAACAGAAACTGTTGAAATCAGGCAGCACATCAGAGCACAAGCACTCCTAGCTTTGGTACAGTTCAGACTCTCTATCGGTCAGCAAACGAAGGTTATCAGTCCACATTTTTTAAGTGAAACTGCCAATCTGCTGATAAAATTCAACACATTGTTGATTAAGAATGTAAAAAGGTTAGTGGCAGACTTGTAAAAAAGAAAAAGGACTTCCACCAGCTATCTTGCTGGAAGGTATCCGGCGTTTCCCAATCAGACGGCTGAATGGCTGCTGAGAAAGACAAACAAAAGACGTGCACGACCGTTTTCTTGTGGCACCCTGTTCATGCGCACAGGATCCCTCCTCTTCCAAAAGCCCCAAGCGCAGCAGATGCCACGAGCGATTTTTATTTGAGGATTGAGAAATGTTTTGTTCCCCATCCAGACAAAGCACTTACTCTCATGTCCACACCACCACATGGAGAGCAGAGCGTATGAGAAGCCCGGAAGAAACTTCTGCCAGACTTCCTCATTTGCCTGAGCAGCCTCGGTCTAAAAATACTCAGGGGCTGGTGAAAATAAAGCTTTTAAAAAACACCTCAGGTATAACTCAGCAGAGACATTGGTCTTGCACTAGTGATGAACTGACCACGGCAAGCCTCTTGGGGATGATTTACAAAACTTTGCAATGCACCACACAAGTCACAGTTAAAAAAATAAAAAGAGTGAGAGAGACATATTGAGGTTTTTAGCTCTGTTACGATTAATGTTGTTGAAAGCAACCAACTGGACTTAATTTTTTTTTTTTTTCTTTTTAATGATAAAGATTTATCTTCATCCTATAACTTTCTTAGGCTTTTAACTCTTAGTAATTTGGGGGGAAAAAACCGCATAGGCGCATACCCATGCGGGTGCACTGTCCGACCTGTCAAGAATCTAGGAAGCATTTGAATCCATCAGAAAAGACGACGATTTTTCAAGCGAGCCGGACTCGATTTGCGCAGATGAGAGGTTTCCTAATACATTCCTCCCCTCCCCCTTCCCCCCCCCCCCCACCCCCCCCCCCCCAAGAAAAGTCGGTGCCTTTCTGTTTCCTCCCCATCACTTAAACACAAATCTGCAGAGCTGCCTTACCATTCCCCTGCCCAGAGAGAGATGGGACTTTGCTCGGCGGGGTCCAAGGTCCACCGCCCGCGGCCACACCTATTCCTCCAAGCAACCTGGGCGCAACGCGGCGCCTGCCAGAACCACGCCGGCTGCTGCCTCTGCCCAGCTCAGCGTCGCGGTGAAGTCAGAGGTGCAGAGAGCCCCGTTTCCTCTCCGCACCGCCGTGACTTGTGCAAAATGCAGTTCCTGAATAGGCACACCGAAATAGAAATTGTTTGCCGCTTAAACGACATCCTGCTCTTGTTTCAGATGTTACAGCCGGGCCAGCTAACACCGCCTGGAAATATGTCCGCTTTACATCTCCCTCTTTTCCTATGTGCTGCTTGGAGCCCAGGCTGCAGCCTGCACAGATTAAAATACCACACACCGTACCCAAGAATTACTGAAAACACTTGCTAGGGTCAAACTCTCCCATTTCAGTAAAATTCAACCCCAAGAGCTGAACGGCTTGTGGGGTCCTGATTTACAGCTCAGCCGAACTTGCCCCGCTTGGCTAGTGCTCCTTCTGCCGCGTGTGACTGCAAGGGCCCAGGTGGCCACTCTCCGTCTCACCCTTTTCACCAGAAGATACTGGAAATAAAAAGCATCAACCCATCTTAGACCTGAAGAAATTGTTGGGATTGTCCCCCCACTGACTTGCTAACATCTGTGGGCTCCACTCCCCTTCAGAAGGATGTAGCAGCTGTTAATTTAACTCCATTTCAAAAATTGATGCTCAGCACCTTAAATGTAACCGGCAACTTCAAGAGCAGCACCAGAGCCTCCTTCATGTGCCAGCGCATAATGAACAGGTCACAAGAGTCGTCAGCTCTCCCAATCTAATAACCTAAAAAGACAGGATTTCCAGCTCTCCAAATTATTCTGGTGGCTTTAAACACACTTCAATTACTCAGCATCCTCAATGCAACATGCTGGCATATTCAGGCAATCCTTCGCATTCACTATTCCCCAGTTTTCCCATCCTAAATAATTTCATCCAGCTGGCTTTCCACACGATTCCCACAGTCATGCCTAAAACAAGTCAAGCTTGAAAACAGCAGTCTTGTGAAAAAAAACAAACAAACAAAAAACCCCCAACCAAACAACAACAACAAAACCAACGACAGTTTGGAGTTCTGTAACATGACAAAGGGACCTGGATCTTTTGCCATGCCTCACATTGCATCTCTTGCCAGGGCATGCTTCGTCTTTCCCATGATTCACACTCAAGCAGTAGCCACGTGTTTAATTTCACATTTCTTGGTCCCACCTGCTGCTGCTGCGGGACTCCAGCATCGCCGACTGCGCGCCTTGCACTTCTCGGAGCGCGAGTGGAGTCGGGCACCAGAGCAGGGCTCCCCCCGCCGCAGCAGACACACGTGCCCTGGGATATTGCCCCAGGGACCCCTCGGACTGCGGGGGGCATGCCTTCAGCTGGAATCTCCCGCCTCAGATTTGACACACAGATCTGGTTACCTTCCAAAAGCGCAAGGGGCAGGGAGGTTTGGAGAGGGGGAGAAGGCTACTCAGGAGCTGCGAGGCTCCTGCTTGCTCCCTTCCAGCAGCCACCACACGCGCTGCGGAAGGCGCCTCTGATCACAAGGAGCGCCCGATCCGCAGCCCCATCACGGGGGTTTCCCCGCCTTGCTGTGCCGTTGGGTGAGGATCACTCCTCCTCAGCACAGAAGACAAGGACTTGAACAGATAACAGAGATGCTGAGCTTTATGGATCGTGCAACAGGGCAAGCAAGCAGAGGAGAACAGAGAACACGCACAAATCACCACAAACCAAACTGCACTCCAGAAGTCTGTCTGGGACACCCCCTCCAAAATAAAACACTGAAAGTAACGCATGGCAGAGAGAAAAGCCAGACTGCATTACAGCACCAAACACAACACATGGCTGGGCATAATTATTACACCAGAGGAAGCACTGTTGTACCATATGCTTGTCTATCATGAAACGTGAAATAATTATACCTTCCTCCTCCCTCCACTGCTTCTTCTTCCAAGCATCTTCCCCTGGACACACAGGGCAGTTAAAATCCAGCATACAGGAGCTTACAATACTTGAGGCTTGGATTTGTATTTATCCTTCTGCTACCAGCTGACAAATATGAAGAAACCAAAATCGAGGTGAAGAGAAGATTTGGGAACACTCCTAAGTCTGACCAGAAGACGACACCGCTCCTCCCTGTACCAAAACAGTTTTATGTAGCGCAGGTCAAATTCAAACCAGGGTTTGGAGACGAGAGATACAAGGGGAAATTCAGATGGGATGCAGAATTAAGATGGCAGATGGGTCAAAATCTAAATTACTGCATGCGTGAAAGGGACAAAAAACCTCATTTCAATTTCCAACTCTGTGCTTTACATGGTAAGATAGGAAACACACAGAGAAGCAAATGACTTTAATTTTAAAGGAAACAAACTCTCCTAAGAGATTCAGTGATGAATCACCACCTTTTAAAAACGATCCATCAGCAGAAGCAGCACGAGAAATTTCCAATTAGTTTCAGACAAAAACCACAGGGGGAATCCAAAAGGTATATTCCCTCCCTGTCCTGGAACGTGATTCTCCCTCCTGCTTGGGCCAGACCCCCACTTCTTTGCTTTATTTACTTATTTATTAATTATGTATTTAAATAGACTCCATCTAGGGGGTGTGTGTTTTTTATTATTATTAAAATAATAAATAATAATCTGGCTTGTCCTAGACCAAACAGCGAGTCCCTGCTGTCATCCACAGTCACAGAGAAGAAGGACCTGTGTGACTTCTAATGGCATTTGTAATTGCTACAGCAGCTTCATATACCCAGTCTGCTTTTGTCACCAGGGTAGACCCTGACACAGAGCTCCAAAGAAAAAAGGGTGCCTCAGGAACGGTAAGAAAAGGGGAATATTCTGTCTTGGGTGCAGCACTGCCCCATCACAGACTGATTCTGGGCAAGGAACATGCAGCACAGTCCCACCAGCCAGCACCACCTCCCCAGCAAGGAACGAACCTGGCTCTTTTCCTGATGATCCAGTTCCCAACATCGTCATTTTTTTTGCAACACTCTTGTTTTCTGTTCCCTCTGGCAACAAGCAGCACCATAACATGCAATCTTGGCACACCTCAAGCTCATTTGTCCTGGCTGTTTTCAGGGATGGCGGGTGTCAGGATGTGCCACGCTACGCACCTTTGTTACCCGAAGCGAGTGCATTCAGCAAATTTCAGAAGCTATTTACGGCGATGCCTTTTGAAGGTGGCGTTAATTATGATGAAAACAGCTCAAGAGCCAACAGTTCAAGATGCAAAACAGCACCACTGTTTCCTTTCTTTAAGAGGCACATGAAATAAATTAACTGTGAAGGTTTTGCAGGCTAGAAGGAACAGTGAGGATCATTTAGAACTGTCTGCATGAGAGAGACATAAATTTCAGCAAAGATTCATTCCTCGTGCCAAGAAACTGAAGGCCACACTAGAGCATTTCACACCAAAGAACCTTTAAATTATCATTGCACGTACAAGCCCTGGGTCTCCTAGTTCTCCCAGTGAGTCCTTTCCTTAGCTAACTACCTTCCCAGCTTTTGGAAGAAGACTAGCCATCATCTTCCCTTTCCAACCTCTTTCCTCTTGTAATTAAACTAATTTTCCATCCCGTTTCAGACCAAGCAAAACTTAGATATCTATAATTTTTCAAACAAGCAGGAGAAAATGATTGTATTGAAGAAACAGTTGCAAGAGGTTCAGAGTCGCTTTATATGGGATGAAACAGGCACAAATGCATTATTTTCCCTTTTTGCGCCTGCTTTTAAAACTCCCCAGAATCACTCCTTCTGCCATCCTGAGAGACAGCTTACTGCAAAACCAGAGTTTCCTCAGTGTCTGGCAGGAATTTACCCCGTAAAAAACTTTTTTTCCCTTTTAATTGTCAGAGCCAAGATGAACAAAACAAAATCTACACTCACTTTTTCTTTCTCTGCTTTGAAACTAGTTTGAACACACATGCAGGCTTTCTTTAAAATAAGCAATTAAGTTTAATTAGGAAAGTCAAACAGGCAGGCTTCATTTTCCAGCATGAAATCAAATACCTTGCTGCAGCTTGGGACCTAGAAGGAAAAAGGATGGTTACACACATTTCTTGCAGCTGAAGTGAACCCTGATTTGCTAAGCCCCAAGCCTGTGCCAAAACCAGGTCTACACTGGCTTCATCTCCATCCATCCACCCAAGGAGCCTTTGCAACTCTGCCACCGGAGAACACCTTGGGCTGAGGCACTCTGTCGCTGCGAGGGACTACGTAAGCGTAACAGAAATATCGGTGGTTCTTCCATTAGGGACGAGCACATGCCCCCAGACTGCCTGGGCCTAAGAGAGTATCGATGTGTCTCAGTTATCTTTGTTTGCAAGACCTCCTCCTTTTTTCAGGCTGCAGCCCAGGAGGACCAGAGATGTTCCTCCAGCACCGGGTCAGAGTCATGTCATGACCCGGAGCTGCAGGCAACAACTGCCCAGGGTAACACAATCCCACTCTGGTGTTTTTAACCAGCTGTGCACGTAGCCATCCCTCCCCACTGCCAGGCACAGGTAACAACACCCTGGTTCCTGCATCGACACGCTCAGAGGAGCCACGCTCGAGACGAAAACAAGAGCACCCACAAAGCGAACAAACAAAGCAACCAGCTGGGTTTGCACAGCTTGCAAAACTCACCCTCTGATCAAATCGCTCCTCAGGCCGGCTGCGCAGGGCTTTGGTAGCTGGCTGGAGGGCTCTGCTCTTTGACTAAGGCGCCTCAAGGCTCAGCTGCAGGCATCGAGGCATTTAGGACACAAATACATGTAGCACAACACAAGGCCTACAGCCACTGGGGGTAAGAGCAATGCCAGCACCTACCTCAACCACCTGGCAGGGTTTATGGCTGTGCCAGAGATCCCGGTCATGGATGCCACGTGTGCCCTGACCTCGGTTTCCCTGCCCGCTTTCACACAGGCTTTCTAGCACACAGATGCTTTCAGCATAACTCAGAAGAAACTGTTATTGCTGGCACAGTCTGATCGCACCAGGACCGTGAAACAGCCCCTTCAAGGAGCAGAAAATGTTCCACACCCCTCAGGATGGATCATCGTAACTCCATGCTGAGGGCAATAGCAAGGCATGCTCCTGGCTTGGAGCCTAGCTGGTCCAAGTCGCCCAGCCTAGGAGACACCCTAACACATGAAGGAGCCACTCTGCCCCCACTCCCATCCCTCACAAAGGCAGAAAGGAGACTCCAAACACTGCCGGGGAAGCATCCTTGCCCCCAGTACAGACAAAGGATTCTGCATGGCTGCTTCTCCATGAGCAGAATGAGGTCCTAGCACTGCAAGTGGAAGATGCTGCTGGGATATATATTGATGAGTTTGAGTGCCACCACCCTTCTGGCCTGTCCAGTGACCTCTGCTCTCCAGGGGAAGGAATCAGGTCCTAGAGGACTCTCAGTAGGCAGCTTGGTGTGCCCTAAATTATCACTGCTCGACAGCATTGTATCATCTCTGCTGGGCCTCACCAGCACCACCCGTGGCAAATACAGCCCCAAGCCACAGGCTGATAGGAGACACCAAGTGGCAGCAGCCATGAAAGAACGTTCACGAGGTCAAAGCTAAAGCACATCTTAGCATTCTCTTTGATTTTGAAGGCAGTAAAGCTCATCTGTATGCTTACTTGCTTGTGGACCTTTTCTTTCCTCTGACTCCAGCAGGCATGCAGCATCACAGCAGAAAGCCCAGCATTAAAGAGAACTAAAGCCTCTTGTTCATCTCTTCCCTTTCCTTGAGAAACCTAATTTGTTCACCACTTGGTCAATTTAAAACACTAGTTCCCTGGGGTAGCCAACCCTAAAAACATTGAAAATTCAGTGTGAGAACAAGACAGAGGATGGGTCAACTCAGCCATAGTGTCAACCTGGAGGTTACTGATGCCTACGCATAACCTTGACCATGGACCCAAGAGCAAGTTCTCCTCCAAACACTCATCTGTTCTTATCTCAACTTTTAAATCAAGAAGCTGGAGTCAAATCTGTTGTGCAATGCAGAGTTACAGGTAACAAAACTGACACACACAAGAAAGCAAATAAAGGACTCCCACAGAATGTAGAAGTATCTCTCCCCAGTACGCTCAGACAACCTAACCCATTAGTTGCGTGGATAGGAAATAAATTTTTCTTCCTCCATTTTCTCTCTTTTTTTTTTTTTAAAAAACTTTTTTTTTTTTTTTTGGTGATACACACAGCTGCAGATCCTGAATGCACACAAAGTATCGGAAGCCTGCTTTTCTAATTGCTTAGCAGAGCTACTTCCTTCCCAGATGGACAGCTCTCCCTTATTCACATTTGTTTTCTAGGGCCTGCTGTTACCCTGCCTGCAAACCTGACTTCCAGGACAGAGGTGAGGGGGAGGCTGCCTGAAGCCAGGCGGCTCCTGCACATCATGAGTGCACGCTAGGCAAGCTCCAATTACCTGTAGGCAAGGAGTCCTCCCTGGGGTACTGCAGCTTCAAGAGTTAACCTTGAAAGCAAAAACACATTAAAGCCAAGCTGAAAATGAGGATTTCAGAGGCCCTTGGCTATTAGTACCATGAGAAACTGCCCAGTTCCACCCACAAGAGGTGCTCCCAACCCCAGATTTTCTATCCTATTCAGCACCATGGAACTGTGCCAAGATAGAACGGAGCTGACCTGGGAAACATCAGCCATCCCGGGCACGGACCTTGTTCTCACTTGAATATTGGGACCCAAGGCCACACCTTGCAGCCCTGAAGGGCTTTTTGCAAGTACACATGGCATTCGAACCAGGACATGCATAGATCTGACAGCTTTTCAGCATGAAAACATAAATAGTTTTCCCGCTGTGCAATCACCTCCCATGCTCCTGAAAGCCCACCTTCGAACGGAAAAGGAAGAAAAAAAGAACAGGAAGCACCTCTTATTCAATGAATCCCTGCAGCAAACACCCCGACTGCAAATGGTTAATAGACAGCCACGCACACACTCACAGGGCTGTACCTGGACTGCTTTTTCGGTGGCGGTGGTGGCGGTGGTGCAAACTCCACGCCATTACTCTTGACTTTAGGAAAATCAAAGGAGAAAGACGATGATTTGCTGATCCCAGTCTGGCTCTCCAGCATCGGGCCGTCATCCACTAGGTCAGCACCCGCTCTCCCGTTCTCAGCTCCCACTGCCCAGGGGTGGGTTAAGAGCTCCTGCTCCTCCTCCTGCTCCTCCTCCTCCTCTATCCGGCACTGCTTGGTCCACGTTGGGGTGTAGTATTTCTGCCTCCTGTCATAGGATGAGCCTGCCAGGCCTCTGCTGGACTCCTCCACAGAGACCCCGTTGACATGAGTGCACAGAGAAGGGGATGCCCCAAAGGCACCTGTATCAGTAAAGCTCCTCGGCAGCAGCTGAACACCAGCTCCATCGTGGCTGTTGTCATCACCAAACCTTGACACATGGGAGCTTACTGGGGGCATACGGTTCCCCTCGCTGCCCGGCTGGCTGTTTTTGGACATCTTTGGGGGAATGGCTGGACTCTCAGTAACCGAGGTCTTGGCAGGAGCTGCTAGATGAAATCTCGGGCTGTTTTCACTTCCAGATGCTTGAAAAATCTCTCCAGGCTCAATGGCAGGTGACGAAGTCCCAAAATCGGGGTGGGAAGTGGGGCTGATACATGGCCACTGAACTCCCACCGCCGAGTCAGGGCTGCTGAGAAATATTGTCTTGTGATCATCCTCGGTGTGTGCCGTCATTATAGTTATCTTAGCCGCCACCTGGCCAGTGGAGTCCTGGTATTCCTTCTCACCGCCCAAAACCCAGCCGCCATCCCTCCACGTCCCATCAGCTTGCTCCTTGCCAGTGCTGCGGGCCAGGTTCTCCGCTTTTGCCTTTCCACCGGCAGCCTTCAGCTGCGCCTTCTTCCTCTTGGTGCTCTCGGCGTAGATGGGATCACCGCGGGCCGGCTCGGCGAGGCGAGGGCGCTGTGGCTCCACCAGAGCCTGCTGAGGGGTGCTCAAACCCTCAGGCCGGGGGTCTCCGGTGACAGAGAGCTCCCCAGGGACGGACAAGTCCTCATCCTCCTGGGACAAAGCAAAGGCAGCCGCCTTGCTGCTCCCCATGCTCTCAGGGAGGGCAGCAGGCTCGGCGTGGAGAGCCAGCTTTTTCCTCTCTGAACACAGGGCGTAGGGAAGAGGATCACCTTGGTCTTTTGTGATGCAGAAGGTCACGTTCACAGCTCTGCGCTCCTCTTCGCCGAACTTGACCGCCCTGCCACTTGGCCTGGGAATCTCGGGAGCATCCCGCTGCCTCCATCCGCAGGGAGCAGGGCTCTCCTTCTCGCACCAGGCACCCTTCCCCTCCGCGCAACGTGGCTCCCACGAGACAGGGTGCCCTCTGCAGCAGTCCGTGATTGAACAGTACTCACCCCCTTCACTTTCAAAGCTGGAGGAGAGGTGACGACAGTCGCCTTCCGAGGGGAGCGCTGCTCCTTCTCTGGTTTGGGAAGGAGGGTTTCTGCTGGCGGTTCTGTCTCCCAAGGCGGAGGGATTCGGGCAAGGGGCCCGATGCGGCAGGACAAACTTGTCTTTGGCTCTGTCCTCCTGCTTGCCCACCTCACCCACAAGCACCAGACTGTGGATGGAGACATTCCTCTCCACTCGACTCTCCAGGCTGCGCAGGCCCACCATGGAGTAGCTAGGAGGACAGCAAGACAAGCAGTCGCTGGGCGAGTTGTGAAGGAAGGGCTTTCTCACACCACCGTTGCCAAAATTGTCGAGGCAGATCCGCTGCACATCTCCTGATTTCAGAAGGAGCTGCTTGCCAGAAACCATGCCCCAGCTGACCTGCACAGGCCGAAATACAAGTGTACTGTCAAGATGTGCATAAGCAAAATGAAAGAGAAATTAAAAAAAAAAAAAAAAAAAAAAAAAAGGCGCCCAGCTCCGCAGAAAAGTCCTCCAGCATTTGCCATCTGTCTTACTCTGTGCTCACCCCACCAATAACTACCGCAAACCTTTTCTACTTAAACTCCACTTGTCCTACTTCCTGGACCATTTGCAATCCTTGCATTACCAACAATGGTAATGCACTGAAATAAGGCATTCTCCTTTCTCTTCCTATGGGTTCGCTGCCAGAAACATGTCCAACCTGTCATCCTGTCTGCGAATCACCGTGCAATTAAAGATTCAGGGAGGGAAGGAAGATTTGCACCTCTCTGCTTATTTTCGTTTCATTTCACGCTGCTGCTCCGGAGTCACACCGTGCAGAGCACAGACACAGGCTATCACAGGTTATCCTGGGATAGCAGCTTGGCTATGCTCAGCAGCAGGGACTGGGGAGGAGGCAGGGAAACGTACCCAAAAAATCTCTTCATCTGAGGGAGGTCCAAGCTGCTTGCCAAGAGAGGAGTAGGAGAGGCAGAGGGTAGGTAACACGTGCCTGTGAAGCGACGAGCACAGCTACGGCACGGGCAGGGTGACGGCAGCCAACGCTTCGCTCTGCGCGGCTGAGGCGGTGCCGGTGCCCGCTGGTGAGGGAGAGGAGCGAACCCCCCAGCCCGATGGCACCTCACACCCCTGCGGCTTGCCAGTTTGCAGGCAGGCAGCAGTGCTACACCCAGAGGGCATTACTGCTCTGGCAAAGGTTGGGAGCCCAAGGAGCTGGGCTAGGAAGGTAGGGCACTTTTTTCCTCACCCACAAAGACCATGGATCTAGTTAGCACTGACCGCAACCAGACAGGACTTCTTTTCAGTATATCTTCCCAGGAAAAATAACTTTAACCCACATCCTCATTTGAAATCCGGAAGTTCCTACACAAACAATTTATTTTTAAGCTCCCTTTGCACATGCCTTGTGAGCAACAGCTCATTCAGCTTCAGCCAAAGATACTTTGACAAGCCAATATATGGCTTAAAAACCTGAATCATGACCAAGGAAAAACAAAGGGAAGGAAACTGTTTTAACAGATATTCCTAGCACTCCTGAGGAGAGGTAAATAACGGGAAATCATGCTTTGACTGGATTAATCATTACCTGTGACAGATCTGCATTCATATTCACATCTGCCCACGTGTCAGAAACATCTGAGTTTATCATAGTCGGCTTCACAGCAATTGTTGGCTTTGAGAAGGGGGAAGTATTTACACCTTCGTCTTCCAACGCGGGGCTCTCGGGCTTGGTCCTAACTCCATTCGGGAGCACGCCACAAGCTCCCACGTCTGGGGGTGTTTGCAGCTGATGCAAAGTCTTTGGGTTGAAGCAGTTTTTGCAGGAGCCGGGCTTCCAAACGTGTTCCACAAAGTCACTGCACACAGACATCTTCAAATCCTCGTGGCTCAGACCGAGAGCCCTCTGCGTCTTCTGCACTGTCCTCCGCTGCTCATTTTGCATTTGCTCCCCGGAGCCGCTCTTAAAGATCACCTAGTTATCTGGAAAAGCACAACACTGTCTGATTAGTTTCGTTATGCCCTCAAATGGGAAGATTTTTTAATAGGACAGGTGATAATTACGCTTACACTGCCTTCATCACAAAGGCTTATTGTTTACATGCCTTTTTTTCACATCTTAGCTAAAGCCCACACAATCACTTAAAAAGACTCAACTTCTAAGCATAGCTCTGTAATAGAGAAGACCTCAAGCAAGCAGCTTTCCTATGTGATTTAGTTCCTTGTTTAATGAGCATGTATAACCAGCCTCGCGCAAGGTTTAGATCAAGGGTAAAGGAGAGAGGTCTTGGAAATAGCTGTTCACAGCTTCACAAGCAGAGCCGGGCAGGAAAAATTCCTTCTCCAAAGTGGCATCCTCTCTCTGGAAAATAAAAAGGCCTGGAGATACAAGGACCAAAACCACGACTGTGTAACCAAGGGGACAGGCAACAACCTTCCTTCGCCCAGAAGCACCACTGTGATTACTGCTGTGGTACACAAAGGCTTCTCTCCCACCCAGTGCAACAGAGAAAGGCGATCAGCAAGGCTGGGGCTGGCACCGATTTGAGCAAGTGCCTGGCAGAAAGCTCTTATCTGGTTTGCCAGGAGCCACAAATAACAGTGTCAGCTCGCTGAAACGATTCATTGTCTGCAAGGGGAGAAACGTTTTGCTCTTGGTTTACTTACAGCCAAGGATCCCTTCCCATCTTCCTTCCCCAGGAGGAAATGCCCCAGGAACAAGACATTCCTGCATTCCTGGGCCCCCCCCTCCCCACACGGCCAGGTCTGCTTGCACTCAGGCAGTAGCTACCTGGAGCCAACAAATTTGGAGATACTTCAGACGAGGACTCCCACAAAGCTCAGTGGATTAGGGAAGAGAAAGATCTGAAAACTAGATGAGGCAAATTGCAGCCAGCTGCTACGGGAGTCAGGGCACACGGTTCCCCCCCCACCCCCATGGCTGCAGAGTCCTTCCCCACCTAACCAGCTTGAGGTCATCTGCTCCGGGCCAGCTGACCCCGATGCAAACCGAGGCTCCTTCCCCGGGGGTCCCCGAGTGAACAGGCACTTTTACACCCCAATCCTGACAGCACAAGAGCAAAGTTTACCAGCCCGATCCTTCAGCGCTTCCTCCCCGCAGGCATACTGCAACGCTGCGGACACCTTTGCTCCTGCGTGGACGTCTACACCAGCCCACGCTTCAGTAAAGCCTCTGGACTCAGAGATGCCCCGGCCAGCCTCTCCGCCAGCCACCCTACTGCCTGGTGGAAATTAAAAAAATACTGCTGAGAGCCTGGGTGGGACAGAGCAAAGAGGGGGAACGCCACCGCCCCACATTCGTGGTCGGGATTCAAATGCTACCCTTGGGAAGGGGAGGCTTTGATCAGCTAAAGCATTGACACCTGCAGACTCCTTCTGGCTGACAGGTTGATAAATTGGGATCTGTTTCGTGGAAGAGCAAAAAAACGGGAGCTTTGATGGGATTCAGAAATCGGATGGGTGCGTGTCTCTCTCTTTTGGCGAGGAGACTGTTTTAGACAGGTTTTTTTCCATGGACTTCACAGAGTCCAAATTAACTGAAGGACAGCAAATCACTTTTGGACGTACCGCAACACCTTTGATGAGACTAACATAATGTGCAGGGAAAATACCTTTAAAAAAAAAACGTTCTGTGCTTTGTTTCCTTTCAGATTTAGCAAGCAGTGTCCGGCAGCCCCCAAAGTTGAACAAGTGTCCTGATGGGAGCCAGCAAAGAAAAAAAGAAAAATCAAAGGGAGGAGAGGAGGGACCGGAGCCAGAAAAAACTCTTCACTTCTGGTTTAATAACCGGCGCTGCCAACTGCCTTTTAAAGATCGGGGTTTCCCTCTCTGCCGCTAAGGCTGCCGTTGTTTCCCGCTGCCCCGGCCGCGGCGGGGGCGGCCCCGTGTCCGCAGCCGGTACCCGGCCCGCACCCACCCACGCGGCGCCGCGCGTGGAAACCGGCCGGGCTCGGGTGTCGTCCCCCCACCCCCACCGCCCCCCCCCAACGCGGGGCGAGCCCAGAGCCAGGAGCTGGGTCCGGGGCACTCCCGGGGGCACCGGCGAGGACCCGGTATAAAGGCTACCTGTTACCTGGGACTGGGATGCTAGGATGCGGCACAAGGATGCTCCAGCGCAAAAAAAAAAAAAAAAAAAACAAAAAAAAACACCAAACCCAAACCAAACCAAAAAAACAACAACAAAAAAACCCCAAACCAACGAACCAAACAAAAAAATCCCCCCAAACCCACCCCCAACCGAGCAGCGGTGTCTGCCGGGCGCCAGGCGTCCACCGGGACTGCGAAAAGTTTACCGGGCAGGGCTCCCGGGGCGGGCGGCGGTGCCGGTGGGGACCGGGGCGCAGCCCGGGCCGGTTTCAGCTCCCCCCCCCCCTCCGCCGGCCGCATGCTCGGTGGGCAGCGGCACGGCATTGCCCCGGCAGCCCCGCCCCGGCCCCGGGAGGCGGGGGGGGGGGGGGGGAATGTCCCTCCCCGCCCGGCTTTGTCCCGGGAGGCGGAGGCCCGGTGCCGGTGCCCGCCCCCGGTCCCGCTCCCCGCTCACCAGGCTCCCGCCGCGGCGGTGGGGCTCCGCTCCGCGCCGCGCCGCGCCCGGCCACGGCCGCCGCCACCGGGCGAGTGGCAAGCGGGGCCCCGCGTGGGATGGGGGGCAGCGGCCGCCACGCCCCGCCACGCCTCCCGGTCCGCCCCCTCGGGGCACGGCGTGGGCAGCAGCCCGGGCGGGGGCAGGGCGGCAAACACACACACACACACACACACACACACACACACACCCCTCCGCTGCCCCCGCACACGCGTGTCTGCCCCTTTGCACAAAGCACACCCACCCGCTCCCTGCAGGAGCACACGCAAACCCGCAGCGACACACACACCCCCCCCCCCCCCAGTCCCCAGCAGCGTTCAGGCAGACACGCACCGTCTCAGGGACATCCCCCGTGGGTACCAACCCCCCTCGGGGGGATGCAGGCACCCACATATCTCAGCAGCCCCCCATAGGGTGCTACAGGCTCCCCCACACCGCTTGCAGGGACACAGCCAGCACACCCACGCCCCACTCCCCGCCACGGGGTTTGGGGACCCAGCTGGAAGACCCTGGGAGCCGGGAGAATTCACTCCTCCTGGCCGAGCTCACCAGACAAGGGCACGGCGAAGTTCAGCCCGAGGGGATGCTGTGGAAGGAAGACAAGCCTGCATTGACTGAAAGCAGGATTTGATCCCACCGTGCAAAAAAATGCAGACAGCATCTCGGGAAAATCCCAAATTCTGTCGGCCTGGGAGGCTGGGGGTCGCTAAAAGGGAGCAGGATGAACTCCTGCTCCCTGTAGCGTCTGAGTTGCGCTTTAGGGCAGGCTGGAAAAGGAGTGATCTTCCCTCAGCCTAGTGCTCGCTCTGTGGTGTCTAGTTTTGAGCATCTAAATTCTCTGAAACTAGGAAAAAAACCACCCCAGGTCTCCCCCTGCCCTGGTCAGGACCTTAGATCAGTTCCTTGCTCAAGCCACGTCTCCTTTAGCACAACAAAGCCTTCCTAGACTCATACATTTCAGGAGAAGATAGTGGATAAAAAAGCAAATACGTTTGCATAATGGGAAATCCAAGCCCTGAATAGAAAAACAGAAGCTGGAGATATGCATGGCACTTATCATAGAAAAAATGTACCTCTCGGGAACCAATCATCCCGCTAAATTCTTCTCCTTCGGGGAATTTTGGCAGTACCGCAGCTTGCAAACCTTTCTGCTTGCAAACATCCTGGCTAGCTGGTCTTCCGCAGTTACGTCTGCTCTTGCTCTCCCTTCCTTTTTGATCAGTTATTAAAATAGTCCCGAGACCCCCCAGGAAGCAGAAACACAGGAAAACATGGGAACTTCTCCACTTAATTTGCCATATTGCCATAAAGACATCTGCTTAACATACCTCCTGCTTCTTTTTTCAAGCAAACCACTTGCAATCAATTTGCTGTGTCTTTTTGCATGCAGGATCCCAGTGCTAGCGCGCCCAGTCGAATGAGTAAATTAGCTCTCAGAAATGCCTTTATCATGACAGAAACATCTCTTCTAGCATGGAGCCACAGCTCATCCGTGAGAGGGAAAAATGAGCTGGGAAAATGAGTGACCCAAATTTCCAACATTTTCCCGATTTTAAAAGGTTTGGATGAAAGAACCCAGGTCTAACCAGCCCGGGCGAGGTTGTAGCTGAGGTCTGTATGGCTGGGTAATTTTGGAGGATGATAAACTTGCCCTAATTTGAGTATCTGGATTTCATACCTGGAAGTTTAAAAAGAGCCTCTGTTCATTTCAATAAGGGCACTATAATTTTCTGATAGCTAAAGTTCTATAATTTTCTCGGCATGCCTTCCTAGTGAAGAGTCAGGGACACCTTAGGGAAGGAAAACGGGATTTAAAATTCATCCTAGGTTCCCAGTGAAACAGCACTGGACCTGCTGAGCAAACTGTCCTGAGGTGTTGACCCCAGGCAGAAAAACCTTTCCCATGCCAGAGGCCTTGGGATTATGTGATAACGAAAATTCATTTTTTTCTAGTAAAGTCATCCTCTTTATGTCCAAAGATTTCAGTGAAAAATCGAACAATCTCAATTTTTCATAAAACAATTGCCCTGTAAGGTCTGAGACCAAGAATGATGGCTTTTTGCATGGCCGTAAACTCCCGTGGCTTCTCCAGTACAGTTATTCTTCATTGCTCATTTTAGGTATTTTCTCAATGGCCAAGAAAATTTGCACTAAAGGAGCCCTCACGAGTGGAAAACAGTACACAAAGCCCGCTAAGACGTGACCACATGTCCTGGCCAGCCATATATCTTCCAGCGTATTGTTTTCCAGAACGCTGACTCAACAACAAGGCACATGGCTTGGAGCAACCCTCATGGCACAAAGGGAAACTTCAGGCTGTCTGGAGCTTCAAGCACCATCCCTTGCTGGCAGATGCGAGACCATCACCCAGTCTTGTTTTCAACACGTCAGCTGTAAGAAACCCCCCCGAGAACAGGAAGACAAACAAGCGTAAACCAACAGGGAGTTTCTCTGTGGGCGGACAAAAAAAGCAAAGCTCTCTGGAGATGGGTTCAGCATCGCTCATGGCCGGAAAAGCTGCCCGGTTCCCAAGACTGCTAATGCCAACAGTGCCTTTTACTGCAGGGGACTTTAAAAAAATAATTAAAAAAAAAAAAAAAAAAGAAAAACAAACAAAAAAAACCCAGGAAAACATGCGATGCCTTTTATCAGTTATGCTCCACACTGTGTGACTGAGCAAATCTTAGTTTCCACCTGTGGTGCACAGATCTCCTCCTGACCGTGGTCCCCGATGTGCTGGGGCATCTTCCTGTCCCTGCCAGGACTCCAGCTTCACCCGTGGTGTCACAGCTGGTAGATCTTTCGGGTGGAAGTGGGGTGGCATTGTCTGTGCTGTGACCGGTTTGCGCAGCAAGGATAAATGCAGCTGTGATGGAGCCAGGGGCAACCAGCGCCGGCACCTCCCGCCTGCCCGGCGAAAGAGCGAAGGGCCGTCCTTCAGCAGGCTCTCGGGATGTTCATACCTGCTGCCACGCAACGAGCTGCTTTGGTCAACGTGCACGTCCCTGGAAACTGCCTCTCCGTGCACTGCAGACCCTTTTCCTACTCCAGAGGTTGGTGGCTGTGTTTGCCGTGCCCCTTTTCCCCCCCAGCCTGCCCTTTCCTGCCGGAGCCGATGTGCTGGCTGCCCTCCGCCCCTGGGACTTCTCCGTGCTCTTGGGGAGAGTGTCACCACCCTGACACTCCATCTTGCTGTAGGAAGAGAACATACCTGGGGTCAAAGGTGCCCTTTTTGTTCAAAACAACACCATGAGATCCAGCTCCAAAAAAAACCCTCAAAATCCAGCCTCTCTTTCCTGGGAAGAGCAGATTAAAAGCATCAGCCATAAATAATGAAACCCTAACGTGGTCTCTTAACCACCCCCCATGGGAGTTACCCCCCACCTCCCCGCTAAGATCTGGAGGCCCAAAGAATGATCTCAGTAGGACCTGTCTACCTTGTAGGGCCGGAATGAAGCCCTAAATCACTAACTCAACCCCATGTGCAGGCAGCAACCCCCCGTCCCACCCTGGCTGCAAATCAGTATGCCAACCAGCGACAGGCACCGCTATGCCTTTGCCTGGGGGACTGTGTTAAAGGGGGAGCTCAGTTCTCCGTCCCCAAGAGCAACAGTGGCTGTTAAGAAATCGCGGGATAATAGCCCTTTTGATGGATGCTCGGCTTGTGCTTTCGGGATGTAGCGGTTGTGGTGGGGCTGGGAAGGGGGAGGGGGCAGAGAGGCATATGACAGTGCCGATAACAAGTGGGCTTTGTACGCCATGGCCAGGGGCTCCCACAGCTGCTCCAACCCCCTCTCCCGCTTGAGGTAGTTTGGGTGGGAGAAGAGGCTACAAAAGCTCAAGTGAACGAGCATGACACAGATAAGATTTTAACGATTCAGTCCCTGCCTCTCTTTAAAAAGCAAAGCTGTGGCAGAGCACTTCTTCTGCCGTTCGGGCAGGGGCTCTGGAGAGCAGAGGCTGCTCTGGGTTTGTGGTCTGGCTGCCGTGGTGCCCCCCGGACAGGGAATGCCCTCGAGTGTGCCTGTCCAGTTTGTTTCCTTCCCCCATGCAGGTGGTGAATACTTGCAGCCCATGCTGGCCAAGGCCCCCGCCTGCTTCTTGCCATCACTCCAAGGACCTCGGTGGTGCTGACCTGGAGCCTGGTGGCAAGCTGGAGCATCCCCCTGGGAGAGGGCAGGGCAGGCCACCGCCTCCGAACCAGCCTGGCCCAGTGAGCTGCAAGAC